TATATATATATATATACACACACATATATATATATATATATACTTCCATCCATCCATTTTCATCCGCTTATCCGTTACCGTGTCACGGGGGCAGCAGTCTCCATGACCACCACTCAAATCACACTGCACCGTACCAGCACCCCCTAAACCTTCCTGCGGGCGGTGAGTCCACTGGAAGTATGTTTATATATATGCCACATTTAATATATATATAACAGATGTACTGTAATCTTTTTCCACCAATGACAGTTTGTTTTTTTATGTTTCCTCTGGACTCTCGCCAAACACACAGTACATATATCTCTTCAGTGACAACACTCTCTTCTCGTCTCGTACCCACAGTCGCAGACAGCTCCACCACCGCACAGTGGTTGTTGTTTGTGCAGAGCTCGGTGCCCAGGAGCGGAGACAGGAGGATGGGGGGGTTAGGCTTCCTCTGTTTTATTCCCTCATTGTCCTGCTACTGTATCCTCAGCATTGTCTCAATAAGTGATTTACTGTCTATGACCCACTACTCCAGCTGCTCTGCTGCTAAAAAGGTGTCGGCGAGAGAAAGCTGTCATTCTCATTAGCCCCACCTGACACATTCACAGACATGAGGATGTTCAATGATACTGTACAAATATGGTCATGACTGTGGACTGGGACTTTTGACGATGTACTAAGGTCATAGTTCTGATGCATTTTAACCCTTTACACTTTGTCTTTTGTTGTTGTCTGTTGTCTCTCTTCTTAGGTATCATCTGGTGAAGCTGTTGGAGAAGTTTGGTAAAGTGAAACAGTTTGATTTCCTTTTTCATAAATCTGGGCCTTTGGAAGGACAACCTCGAGGATACTGTTTCGTCAATTTCAACACCAGAGAGGTACGTTCTTAAAGGCCTCTTTTGTTGATTGCTTGTCTTATGGGCTTATGGATTAGATCGCTTATATCTGCATTAAAATAATGAACAATTTGGTTCAAGTTCAAACTAAATGTTGAAATCACCATTTCTCATTACCTTCTTATGGCAGGGGTGTGAAACTCAATTCACGAACCGCATACAAGCTAATTAGATGTCAAGTGGGCCGGACCAGTACAATCATAATGTAATTAATTAAAAATAACAACAAGTCCATGTTTTCCCCCTTTGTTTTTAAGTATATTTACACATATTTATATATATTATTTATTTGTATATAATCATATAAGATTTTTACAGAAAATATCTTGAACATAATGAATAAACATAATTTTTATTTCCAGAATTCACCAAGTGGTCCGAATTGAGCACTGTCTAGCCCACGGGCCGTATGTTTGGCACCACTGATTTAAGGCTTTAACTGTTATATTTGTTAAAATAAGATCACTTAAAGTCCACTCAGGACTCTGTATTGAACAAAACAATAAATCAAGGGTAAAAATCACATTTTTACATTATTATTTGATGTGTATTTTGAAATCAAGTTACAGGCCAGATCGGACGGTTCGGCGAGCCAAATTTGGTCCACAGGCCACCAGTTAATAATCACTGCAATAGATGTTTATAAGCAGTAGGAAGCACATGTGTTTTTACTTTATGCATATTTGGCATTAATTGTTATGTTTTTCATTTATATTTGCATTTCTTTCAAATAAATGATTTCAAATTCAATTTTGAGAAAGAAAGTAAATGTTTTCAAGGGTTGTTGAACAGTTTGTTGTTTGTTCTGATTTCACAATTTATCATTTCAGATGGTTGAAAAACCTAACCAAATAAAACTTTTCACAGCTCAACAGTTGATAAATATATAATCATAGAACTCGTCTGAACATGTTCTTGTTGATTTGGATCAGACATAGTAGTTAGTAATTATTATTAAAAACTTGTATAAAAAATGTTTGAATCTGCAGCACGTCGCAGGTTCAGCTGTCGGCCGTTTGTTTTTGGAGTCCGAGTGGAGTGATGATTAAAATCAGGTTTCACAGCTTGTATCTTATCAGTGGCATGAGAACACTTCCCAAAGGGAATAGACAGAGGAAGTGTGTGTTTATATTGTGCGCACACACACACACACACTCAAACTCACAGTGAAGTACCTTGTCAATGCGATTTAATTTCAAAGCCTCTTATTAAATAAACACTGCTGCAGTTTCCTCTGCGTACAATAACGATTTAATGACCTGAAGGCGGCCATCAAGACACACTTTTAATCACAATTTGATGTTTTCGCCCTTTCCTTTTGGTGAATGTGCCGCAGGAGGCAGAAAGAGCGATTCAGTGTCTAAATGGGAAGCTGGCCTTGTCCAAGAAGCTGGTTGTACGTTGGGCACACGCACAGGTGAGGGTGAGTGTTACACTCTACTGCTACAGTTAGGAAAAGTGAAAAAAAGTCAATTAAGTCATTTACAGTGTTTTTATAGGTTTTATGTTTTGTATTTTTGTGTGTGTAAAAACAACTCTTAAAAGAGTGAGGAGTAGGAAAAAGGGGTTTTAGAACTTACTTGAGGAAACCTTTTTCTTTAAATGGAATGGAAATCTACAAATCATGTAAATAAAGTATCGCCATTCTTTAAATATTTTTGGATGCTTTTTTTATCTTTTGGCTATTATCTGACTTCCTTTGTGTCTTTGGTTAAATTTTAGCATAATACGCTTTTTTGAAATCTTCAGTCCATCAAATGTACCGATCTTTTGGCAAACCTTATCGTTAATACTCATTTGTTTTAAGACTCTCAGCTTGCACATTTTACCATAGCATACCCTTTAACTCTGACTTTGCAAAAACATTCAAATATACATCTGTTTACTAGAACCAAGTAAATCATATACCATGAGAATTCTAAATTCTAGAAGAATGTCATTTTTTATATATATATATTTTTTTGCGCTCCTGTAGTTGACGTGTGCAGATCAGTTGGCTCCCAGCAAAAGTCATGCCTGTCTCTTAACAATGGACGACCCACTGGCATGGGCGAAGGGATATCCTGTATAGAGATGAATCACGCCCTACACACACACATAGCCATACTGTAGTAAAGAGAGGTCAAGGTCAGCCCTGTGCCGCCTCGGAGACAACACGTAGGACGGACGGTGGGGATATATCTGCTCACACAAACAGAAGCTCTTAGACTTTTAGGATTTTTAAAATGTTCCATTATAACCAGTCTGTCTGAGTCACTCTGTGACTCACACATATATTCCTCTTGGATTAATTTAATTTGTACAGTTGATGGAGTTTTCTCCACTTCTTGACTGTATTAACACGCTCCAGCCTGCATCATTGACAACACTGTTAGTCACATTACTCTTTAAAGATGGAGAGCATGTATGTGTATTAGCATGTTATATATAGTTCTAATGGGTATGAAAGTGTGGATAGATGGATGGCCATATGGGTAAATATGTCAATGGATGAATGGAGCGAGGATTTGTAGATGGATTTGGGGGGATAAATGGATGGCTGTGTAGATGGATGGATGCATGGATGGATGGATGGATGGATATATACTATATATACATCATATATAGATCTATATATAGATGTGTGATCAGAGCTCTTAATTCACAGATGGATGAGAATGTGTCAGTTGGACGGTTAAATAGATGTTAATATGGATTTAAAGGTATAGTTGGCTACATATAGATAGATTACTATAAAGAAGTTGACAGTGAAAGATATACATATAGATATATATTACACTCGATTGCTCCTTGTTTTATAACATAACATTCTCTGACTGCCGTCCTTTCTACAGCAGCAGAAGTAAAAAAAACAAGTGGAATGTTTTGAAAATAATTTGCAAAACAAATGTTGTTTATGTTTCAGTACATAGAATAAAATAATAATAATAAAAAAACACACTGTACATTACTTTTTTTTTACCAGTCAGTAGAAAGGGTTTGTCTTAAAATCAGTACTCTAGACAAGGGGTCCCTAAAAAGTAGATCGGTTATCGATTTTTATATTAAATCACTACAGCTAGGTTAGCAACAACACAATTATTAAATCATATTGTGCCATACAGCTACAGCTCTTTAATCAACATATAATGTGTATATATAAAGTATAGTCTGGTCATTTGAAAAGTAGCTCCCAAACCAACAAAGGGTGGACACCCCTGCTCTACCAATGTTCGTTAACAAGAAGTATAAAAAAGTTTTGGGGGGAAACTCTTTCATCCAGCAGAAAGATTTAGATGAACTAGTTCCCAAAAAACAGATTGAAAGTATAACCAGATGGTGGCAGAGTGAAACCCTGACGGAGATGTTTGTTTCTTTGTTTGTTGTTTGTCATGTTGCTACTTCACCAACAGAAAATACAATCAAAATAGGATTTTTTGAAACTGTCATTTTGGAAGACCTGCGATGATAATATCCTCCATACCTCAGTGCAGCTGAGGATTTTTTCATAGTAAAGTCATTCAGGACATCTGTATGCATTCCAACCTTGTGGTGTTAGAAATAGGTGGAAGGGAAGGGTCCTGGCTGCTGGAGCGCTCATTGTTTCAGACCTATTCTTGGCTGTAAGTGTTATTTATTTCCTGGGACAGATTGCAGGATTAAGTAATTTTCTTTTTTTTGTTTTTTTTTGTTTTGTTCATGTATGTATCCTCATGTACCTGTGGCTCCAGCAGCTGTGGTGAGAGAACAAACCCTGACTCTCCTGTGTGACTGTTGTTTTGTTTCTGTCTCCTCTTCTTCTCCACAGGTTTGAAGATTTCTGGTGTGTTGGCTGGTTGCGATGTTTGGAAGGTGGTTTTGAGAGGAATGAGTGCAGACGTTGGTTGTTGCTCCTCAGCTGCTCCTCTTTTCTCCTCCCCTCGTGACTTTAGGCCCTGGGAGCTGGAAACACACACGCAGCCCTGTTTGGTTTCTGTCTGTTTGACCAGACACAAACAAAATCAGTGCAACAGTTCAGTTTGTTTCAGCTCCTTTGGAGGGAGCTGGAGCTGCTGTCAGTTTCTGTTACAACCTCTCAGGGATTTAAGTGTCTGGCTGACATGTTTCCAGCTCCTCCTCTGCCCACTTCTCCTTCTCCTTTGGTCCTGTTTCTGGACCAAAGGCGCAGGAACAGTGGGTCTGAGCCGCATCCAAATACGGCTGTCACTGAAGTCCAATTCATTTTGACATACGAGGTAATGAGGTAGAAGTTTGGATTCTGGCCACGTGGAAATTTTCTTTCAGCTCTGACTTGTTTTTTTTTGATGTCTGATAGAAAAATGTCAGGAAAAAAATATTTTTACATTTTTCTGTCTTGAAAAATACTGACTTTAATCAAAGAATACACTGTGATTTTTATTGTCATTCTTTTTTTTCTCCACTGTCCAGAGCTTGTCTTTTATATGTCAAAAGGTCACATTCTCTGACTTATGTGGGTTAGAATTTTAAGCAGAAAACTCAAATGTTTATAAATCTTACTTTTTTCTTCTTACAATTCTGACCCTTTAAAGCATTTTAAAGACACATTTATTTGACCGTAACATCAGATAAGTATTTATAAAAAAAAAACAACTAATGGAAAACAACAAACCAGCTCTTCTGTAGAAAATTGCTTACATTTGGGGTTATATGATTGAAAATGCACCATGTAGTTAAAAAAAGTAAAAAAGTCTTTTAATCCTGCCAGAGAAAAATAATATAGATATTAATGTCAACATTTGCATTATTATTTTATGTCTTATGTCTCTCTGTCTTTCCTTCCTGTGACTCTTCATGTCTATTTCTTACTTTTCATCTCACTTCTCTGTATGTCTCTCTACTTGTTTGTCTGTCGGTTTGTTTGTTTATAATTTGGGCGTTTTCATCACCTCCAGAGGTTTGAAACGTTCCGTAATGAAAAGCCGATGCCTTCTAGTCTGGAGCCATCCAGCAGTGGTGCCACAGTGGAAGGGCCCATAACAGCCAATCACCTCAGGTTGGTACTCAAGACACTCTTCTTCTTTTCTCACTCAAAATTACAATTCAGAATGAGATTTTAAAATTTGATTGTCTGGCAATTTCTTCATTTATTTAATTTTTTAAAATTTTCTATATTTTATCATTTTTATCATCTAATTTTTTTTTAATATCTGAAATCAGTAGCAAGCCATATTTGGCCCATGGGCCTTGGATTTGACATACAGTTTGTGTCCTATATAGCAGTGATTCCCAACCACTGTGCCATGGCATACTAGTGTGCCGTGAGAGATCATTAGGTGTGCCGTGGAACATTACCCAATTTCAGTTAAACAGTTTGAAAAAATATTATTTATGTCTTGCAAATAATTTTTTTGCAGGCACAGCAAATAAATTAAATATTTATAGTTTTATAATAATATTAAACTTTTCCACTAGGTGGCAGGAAATGGCTATTAAAACTAAAAAAAAGAACCACGGCTGTTGAAAAAGATCTTTATCAGTGTCTTTCTTCAATTCCTGCGAGTATATTAGCGTTGCCTTTAACTAAACCAGATTTTAGTGAATTGTGACTATATTTAAATTAGAAGGTTATTATATTTTAGTACATATAGTTTTTGTTGTTTTTGTTAAGTGGTGTGCTGTGGGGGGTTTTCTAATGCAGAATATGTTCTGTGGCACTAAAACAGTTGGGAAACACTGCTATATGGCACCCCACCCTGCAATAGCTCCTCCTGCCCCACTTTGGGAAACACTACCTTCAGTTAAAAAACACACCATGCTGTTGACCAGTTGAACTTCAGACCCGTGCAGGTGCTACACAGTCCAAATGAGTTCCTTAGATTCCTGTGACACCTGAACTCACCGCTGCAGCTCGACCTTCTGCTACCTTCACATGTTCTCCTCTGTGTGACTGTTGGCTCCCAGTCAGTGTCAGGAGACCCTCGCTGCTCAGACCACAGGCCTCAGTTCAAGCTGAGTTCATCTGGACCCACACTCACTGCGCCAAATACTGTTCGGAGGAAAACGTTGGAAGTTGTGTCAGAGCAAATTAGGACACGTTCCATTGTTGTGGCTGCACATGCAAAAAAAAAAAAAAAAAAAAACCCTTTAGCATATGCACACACACACTGTACAGTCAAATGGAGCAGCGTCAGGTCGGTCAAAGGCCTCTAGTGTTCACAGTGACAGCTCTTACAGAACCGATCCAGCGTCTCTGGCAGACGAGGAGCTTCTCGGAGAAAAGCCGAACACTTTGATTCTAGTGTAAACATCACACTGACACACGAGAGGGAAATGGAGACACTCTCCTCTGGCTTTTCCTCCCAGTGTTCCAGCTCGATCGTTTACATGCACACTTGTTCTCTCAGTCACTCGTACACTTTGAGACCTCTCTCCTCAGTTGCCTCTTCAACCTGTTCCCCCATTTAAATAATGACTTTCATGCTGCGGAACTTGTAACCTCTCCTCTGTCCTCCCTTTTTCCCTCTCCCCATCTGTTCTAATACTTGGGAGAGCTCTTCTCTCCCTCTTCAGCCTGAGCACGGATCTGTCCATCACCCGCTCCATCTCTCACCCGTTAGCGGCGACACTAGTCTTCCCACTCCTCATATCTATGTATTTTTTTTCCTTCCGTCCTCTCTTTAGTACGAGCGCAAAAATCCGCGCCATCGAGGCCAAGCTGCAGATGATGGACGAGAATCCAGACGAAGAATACTCAGGACCGTCGGCCTACGTTTACAACAAACCACAAGAGAGGAAGCGATGGGAGCCGTACTCCAAATCACACCACAACAACCAGAGCAGGCCCTTCAGGAAGTTCAGGAGATGACAGCGCCTCCCTGCTCATCCTGGAGAACCACCACCACCACCATCATCATCACTGCTACACTCAGAGTGAATCCAGATACTCTTAAGAATCCATGTTGGAATAAAGTATTTTTGAATTTCCAATTTCTTCTGGGAGTCATCACAAAGCACGACATTTTCTTTTTTTTTTTTAAATAATGGCATCATGACCTGTTATTCTGCCTCTACCTGACTGATGTGCATCAGACTCTTTTTTTCCCAGAATTCAACAGGTTACAGTGAAATCTTATTATTTCAGAAACAATGAATAGTAACAAGAAACAGACTTCAGCGACCGTCTCAAGTCAAGATGTTGAAGTGGAATTCTGTCGGTAGAATCAGGATTCACTCAAGAAAAACTTTGCGCAGGTTTCTGTATTTTGTGTTAACTTTTTAAATGTATTCTTCTGCTGACTATTAACTATTTTTTGAGTGTGTGGCATTTGTTTTTGCCGCGCACCTTATTTTGGATTTTAAATAAAAAAAAGACAGTTATGTATTTGTGTGTTGTATTTTAGCAATAATGATTCAGTTCAACCTTCATGTCACATTAGTAACATAGAAATACATACATGATGACTCTGTGTGTTAGGTCTACACAGGTTCAGGTCTATGTTCATGTCTGAGTCTCACCAAAAACTCACCAAAGAGTTTTGGGTTTGGAATCTCGGTGGAATTTACAAAAGCAAAGTGTTGAAGTCTTGAGTTTTCCTCTGGTTTTTAGGTCGTGTTACTGGAGAAAAGTCACCGCCGAGTTTCCAGGTTTCAAGTCAAGTGTCTGAGTCAGAAGAGAAGAAGTCAGATCTGTGTCAAGTTTCCATGGTTTAAAGTCCAAGTCAGTTAATAGGCTCCTGAGGCATTGGAGTGTCATTGCAAGTGAGCAGGGCTTGGGTCCAATCTGGGTTCTGGACTGGAAAACCGCAGCACTGTTCCCTTGACAGTAAACTTTCAACATGTCCCTTTTATAAGCAGTGATCCACACAGTGATTTGGCAGTTTTTACACTGGACGCCACTGCTGACGCAACACACGCTGGGAACAGTGGCATTGAACACCAAGACCTACCCCTTCACCGGGCTACACCCCTACTCCACTGTGACACAGTAAAGTAAAGAACAGTCAAACAACCAACAAGACTGCTGGAGTCAAACATTTTAATTATGAAAAATCTACAAGTCACGAAATCAGCAGCTGAAATCCCTTCAAGTTACATTACTGCCCCCTGTTGAGCCTATACCCCTCTGGTTGATATCTCCACTGATGAAGAGAAAATATAGTCAGAGTGAAGCATCACTGAGAGACAGATTATTATACTGGACTAAGACAGTGGTTCTCAAAGTCAGGGGCAGTACCCCAACAGATGTACAGCATAGCAAATGAATTTCCATTTTAATATTTTCTAAATATTTGCCATGGTGGGAAATATTGAATTGTAATTTTGTTTACTTTCTTAGATCAGAATAATAGGGTTACAGGTGTGACAGTGTTTTTAAAGATTCTGTGGAGCTTTTGAACAAAAGCTTTTCTACAAAAGGGGGCGCCAGAGGATTTATGAAGGATTCATGATTAATAAAGATTTATTAATATCAACAATTGGAAAAAAAATGATGTGGCAGGAAAACATTCAGAACATTGTCATTTCAAAAATGACTGAAGGCACAGCTTTCAGAACATTGTCATTTCAAAAATGACAAAAATGAAGGCACAGCCTAGTTTAAGTGATTGTTATTTTTATTGTCAAGTCATGTATCCCTATAGCCCAGATTCACTCGTCACATTTGTCTCTTTGGACTTCACAATTTTAAATAAAGATTTAAATTAAACTCGAAATCACCTTCTAAAACAGGAAGTAAAGAGGAGGTGTAAACAGCCAGTGTTTAAATTAACAGAACAGACTAAAGCAGGATAAAGATATACAGAGAGTTAGCATCATAGCAAAGGTGGGGAGAAAAAAACTCTCCAGCAGCTCCAGACTCAGTTTAGCCGTCTGCCTCGGGAAAGAGAGAAAGGGAAAAAGGAGAAAATAAAGATTAAACTTAAAATAAGAAGAAAAGAGGGGAGGAAGGAAGAGAGAACAGGAGTAGACGATATGATGTTAGTACTATATAGCTAGTAACGTCTTAATCAACAAATGTGAAGGATGATAAGCAGACACTGGGACCTGTGAGGTGAAGACAGTGACAGGGAGAGGGAACAAGGGGACAGACGAGTGGAGACAGAGGAGACCAGGTTATTGATGTACACATGACGGGCTCAGTGCACCATGGGAGTTCCCCCCAGCAGTCTAGGCCTATAGCAGCATAACTAATGGATAACTCAGTCTTACCTGTGTCAGCCCTGGTATTAGGAATACAGAGATGGTGTCAGCCTCCTGAACACATACAGTTGGTTCCATTCTGGTATTTCATTTTGTTTCATCCCGATCCATAAATAATATAAATACGGAAATATTTTATTTTTAGTATATTTAATATACACAGACAAAACCAGGCTCAGGTGACACAGAAACATTTTTATTGTTTTTTTTTTTTTTTTGCAATATTACAATTGAACTTCGGTCCTTTGTCTTATTTTATCCCAGTGGACATTAAATATTAATTAATTAATATTTTGTGGTACACACTTGAGGATTTAATGGGGAGAAACGCATGATTGATCCTACAAGATAAATGCTGCGGCCATTTATAAGGTGACGTCATATTAAACCTAATTGTGTCTCAATTGAGTTTCATAAGAAAGAAACAAAAGCTCTATAATTCCAGCAAAAACATGTATTTTTAACAGGAAATACATAAGCCTCGTTCGAATTTTAAAAACGTGAATGTGCGTCACAAAGTAGCTATCATTTTACTGATTTATTTTGCATTTTATTGACGAAAATAAACAAATTCAAGACAGGAAACAGAAATACGTCACGTTGGCTTATATATGTTTGAATGGTTAAATAATGACTGGTCTCACTTATTAGGATGGGATACAGCCGTGACGTCACAGAGGGGACACTGATAAACTTTGTTGAATGGAGAAAATAAATCCTGATTCTTGGGATTAAACCGCATGATTACTTTTTAATTTTGAAAAAAGAAATGTAGCTATTTCAAACGCTCCGTTTGTGTGGCTGTGACTTTATCTGTTCCACTACAGGCCTATGGGAGAAAACGTTACAAACATTGAATTCTACAGCACGTTTTTTTTTAAACAGGACGTCTGGTGTATTTTGAGTCGAAGTATTTAGGATCCCGTGGATTTACAGATAATTATTGAATTGTCTCAGACGATCTGAATGTTCGACAGCAACAGTCGATACAGAGACGGCGTGTGGCCTCAGACACATCCTGTAATTATCATTCTTCCTTCGCTTTAAGAGTAAAACACGCTCCGATGTTTTTAACAGCACTTGGGATTTTTTTTTTTTTTTTTACATTTTAGTTTTGTCATAGCCAGAGTTTTGTTTTTAATATTTTTTAATTTTAGAATAATGCAAATATAATGGGTTTTAACCCGTAAAAACAAAGTAATTTGTTTGCAGAATGCTTACATGTTGTATATATTACAGACACTTATATTTATATAATATAAAATGAGCTTATTCATTATCGAAATTATTACGATGTTCCACAAGATCCATTATACAATAGAATATACATGATGTTAAATACAATGGAATGTAATAATAGTAACAACAACACATTAACAACAACAACAATAATTATTATCATTATTATGGAAGTGAAATTGTTGTAATTAGTAAATTATTTTAATAATTATTATCATTATTATGGAAGTGGAATTTCTGTTGTAATTAGTAAATTATTTCCTTGCGTTGAAATAAAATAAAAGTGACTGAGAAAATAAAAGGATATAATTAATGATAGCTCACAGCAGTTGTTAATTAATAAAAGAATCAGAAATCAATTGTAATATTGTAAAAACTGACACGTGGAAATATGTGAATAATGCGCGTCTAATATGAATAATATAATACGCGACATTTTCAAATAGCATTTAAGATGCTATTTGTGCGTCATTTTAGTCACCACAGCAACAGCTGAAAAAACAAGTAAAATCGAAAACGATTCGCGAATTTGTATCAATAGTAATTACATTTAAATATTACATTTAAATATTAAAAGATATCTTTTATCGTAGTGACGTTTTGCTGACATTTAAACTGTATTTTAAAAAGGTTTCAAAACACTCGTATTAGGGTTTAATTGTTTTAAACTGTCTAAAAATCACACGTTTGAGTGAGAAATGGAAAAAAGACGTGAAATAAGCTGTGATTTAGACAAACTTATCAGAGCTGTGGTGACTTTAAAAAGCCGGGAGTTGGAATGAAAATAGTCCAAATAAAAATAAAGACGCACGAGGTCTAAAATAAAATATCACGCAAACATTTGTTGTCGTTTGAAGTGAGTTTTCGTGCGCAGTCGCAGTGATAGCAGCAGCAGCAGCAGCAGCAGCGTTTTCCTAGTAGCGAATAAATGGCAAAAGCCAAATAGCTGACATCTCACACACACGGACGCAGCCGCAGAGTTTGTGTCATAACTGCTGCAGACTCCGTCCACCCTTCTTCTCACGCGCCCCAAAACTCTTTCACTCTCCTCCTCTAACTATAAGTCGGGCCTGCGCTGAGCGGCACACACGAACTTCCACTGCAGCACGGCACAGACAGGAGGCACAGCCACGCAGCACTGCTTCTCCTCCCGTGACGCGCTCCGATCGCCTTCAAGTCCTGCAGGTCCGTGTCCACGAAACCTCTGGAGTAAAAAGCTGCCAACACTTCAACTGAATTCACTTCCTGTAGTTGGAGGCTTATCCAGAACTGGAGGCAGAAAAGAGGAGGAGAGAGGGAGAACCGAGGGAGAGGGATCTGTCCGGGCTCTGTGAAGGAGCTGCTCCTCGTCTTCTGCTCCATTACGCACAACATTATTTCTTTCTTTTCAAACACACACACACACACACATATATATAATCAACATAAAGAGAAGAAGAACACGTTCCGGTGCCTGAGTAACTTCCGAGTCCATGCAAGTCACGGATGCTACCGGTTTTGACGCGCATCGCCGACCGGTCCTCTGGTTCAACGCACAGAGTTTGGAGACACTGCGCTCTGGTCCCGTCTTTGCTGCCGTGAGACTCCACTCCACGGAGGTTCATGTACTGGAAAAATGAGGTTTTGTCCCCTCTGTCAGAGGGAAACAAGATTCTTTCCGACGGAATCCCCACCAAGCAGGTAGTAACACTTTGAAGAACAACAGTCGCACGTTTGTGCGTAAAAACTAGAAAATTACGCACCAGATTTTTTTGTAGACATTTTTATGGGCGTGACGTGTTCACGTGAAAGACCGAAACGGTTATATTTTCAACAAACTTGGTCTCTACTTTTTTCATAGACCTATTACTCAGAACATGTGCGTTTTTCGAGCGTTTTTAGTTGTTGTCCGTCTGTGATGTCACCCAGGAATCAGCTGCACCACAGCCGCGCGTCTCTCCCTCCTGGTTTCAACTGAATTGCGTGATTTTTTTTTTACTGTCCGCCCGCCTTTGCGGTGCCGCCAGCTGTCTAAAGAAAGAATTAGATTTTAATTACAGCCATTAAAAAAAAAATCAAATTTGCAATCTCTTTTTGGGCCCAGTGACCCGGTGCCTCTGCCTGATTGACAGATGAAATTGACACCCAGGCTGCCTCTTATCCACTGCGTTACAAGCTATTTGTAATTACAGGTAGCCCCCCCACCCCTGTCCCACACACAGAGACATTAACACACACACTAACAGCCACCCTCCTCCACTCTCGTGTCCTGGATTGCGGAGAAAATACTATTATTCTGAGAGGCGCACGGTTCAAGGGCAGGGGCGAGAAGGAAAGAAAATCAGTCCAAATTGGAATAGCTTCATTAGATGGTGCCTTTTTCTGTTGTCACGGGGGGGCTAATTGACATTTTAACCGCGGCTTTTATTGTCAGAGGACGACTTTATATATGAGCAGCCACGGCGCGCTGAGAGAAGGAGACGAGGGAAGGAGAGAAGGAGACACTGAGAGGAAGCTGCTTCCCTAACGTGGGGCGAGGATTTGTCAAACGGATAAAAGTGATGATGAGGATCGCTGTCTTGTAGGTGATCTGCGCCGAGAATCAGAGCATCTCGCCGGGAGCTTCCCGCTGCAGTGTGGAGTCCAAGTCCGCCCCAATGGTGAGAGATTCAAATGCTTTCTCTGCTATTTCTGAAGTTGACTCGTTCGTGCGTCTTTTACGCGCGGGGCCGTGCGTGGAGGAGAAGTTGATATAGAATCATAACCTGCATCATCTGCTACACACACACATGGGGTTGTGTATTAGTGACACACCGACCTTTCTGTTGCAGTCTCACTCGGACGCAGAGTCCCAGAGGTCCAACATGGAGCGGGAGGACACCCGCTCGTCCCCCAGCACACCGTCCACTCCCTCCGTGTGCTCACCGACCTCCACCATCAGCTCCGTGCCGTCCACCGGCAAGAACGTGTGCGCCAGCTGCGGCCTGGAGATCCTGGACAGATATTTGCTGAAGGTAACTTCAAAAGAAACCACCCACACAATGAAGAATATTTGAAACAAACACGAACTCTGCAGATGTGAATATTTTTTATTAAATCAAATATAATGGACAAGAGATTTGGACACAGGCCTGCCGTGATTTTGCGCCCGAGAGTGAGAAAAATGAAATTATTATTTATAATAAGAATTTTGTTCAAAATACACTTATTATAATTAGTTTTATTCTATAAATATATTATAATGACCAAAGACACCACACAAATGACGTCACTGGTATAACGTCCCTAATCCCGTGCGTTAAAGTGTGAGGGAGACACAGACACAACATTAGATGTTTTGGTTTCTGTATTTTCGTTTCTTTCAGTCTCACTCTCAGGGTGTATTGTCCTGTCGCGTGTGCTCGCGTGTTTCACACTCTCATTCACACGGATGAGTGTGTGTTTGCCCGGAAGTGTGAAGGTCATTGGTTCATTATCTCTCTGTGACCGCAAAGAAGCTGCTGCCGCCGAGTGCAGAGACAAAAGAGAAACATCATATCGACCGATAAATACAATTTGTATTTTTTATTTTAATATTTAATATTATTGTGCCACTTCACACACTATTATTATTTTCTGTGAATAAAATTTAATGTATTAATTTAATTCAACTTCAATACAATCGAAGTTCTTAATATTTGTCACCCAGAAAATCGTAACGTGTAATTTCGCGCTTATTATTATTTTGAATTCGTTACTGTATTTCCTTGTATTTTATACTCTTTACTAACTTAACTAACTGAACCTATATACATATGTAGGGTTTTAGTTGGCTCTAAAACTTGTGTCGTTGCTATATTTAGGTTTTTTAAACTAGGTAAAAGTAACTATTTAAAATGAATAAATATTAACAAGCAACGAGTTGCTAATGCTAAACAACAACGTAGAAACACAGCGAATTTAATCATTTCGTTTTAAAAACTCACTCGTACGGAGACTCGTCGTGATACATACGTGTTTATTAAAAAGGCAATGTTTAATTTTTTATTTATTTGTAGCAAAAAGTCAATTTTTAACCTATACACTTATGTTGTGGAGAGATATTTTATTATATAGGACTACCTATTATTTACTATTATTTTCAAAACACATTACAGTAGAATGTGGAAAAATAATTCCCAATAAAACATATTCCATGGTTCGTCCTGTTGTTTAACTCTTTGATAATCGATGTGTATTTATTTATATATATATAATTATTTATTTATTTTAATTAATTGACTTTTAATGTAACACTTAAAAAAAACACAGTAAAAACGACGAAATGCTCCCCAGGCCAATGCTGACAGACGGGAAGGAAATGATAAAAATAATTAAAACGATGTGCAGTTAATGCGGAATAAGCTAAATTAGACTTAAATTAACCCAAGTCAAATAAATATAAGCGCATATTATGACGCATCACAGATCCAAAGCCACATTAAAACACATTTTACGTGAATTAAAAAAAAATAAACCAGATACTGGTCATTAATGATCATCATTAAATTTAAATTGAACAAACTTAAAGTGGATTTCAAAATGATGACATAATGAACATTAGGAAGATGTAGATACATCACAATTCTTCCATAGCACAAGTATCGAGCGTTGGTGTAAAATGTACTTATTTTGGTCAATTTGATTTTAATTGCAATTGAAATGATTAACCGATAGCATTTAGATTCATTTAAATATTGTTCGTGTTGAAATATATAGTTTGCCTAAGTGTTTCATTGTGTTTATGATGTATTTAAATATTTAATTATATACAGTATATATGATGGAACTTTTTTTCAAGAATATATTACTCTCTTTCTCTCTCTCTCTCTCTCTCTCACACACACACACACACAAACACTCTCTCTCTCTTTGTGCGTGCGTGTGTGTGTGTGCAGGTGAACAACCTGATCTGGCACGTGCGCTGTCTGGAGTGCTCGGTGTGCAGGACGTCATTACGTCAGCACAGCAGCTGCTACATCAAAAACAAAGAGATCTTCTGTAAAATGGATTATTTCAGGTAGGGTAAGTTTTTTAAACATATTATATGTTGACCCTCTGTCTCTCTAACACACACACACACACACACACACACACACACGCCGTGGGTGATGCGGGCTGCCTCACGCGTTACTGAAAAACCTTTTCAAAACCGAAAGTGTGGAAGAAAAGTCTTTATCTAGAAAGAAAGAGGCAGACTGAGCTACAGCTTTGTTATGGCTACAGAGAGGGGGGGGGGTATTTAAGGACAAAATAATTAGCCTATTAGCTTATTAGCCCTAAAATGAATGTAATTGCTCCCGTAGAAAACACTTATATTTTTAACCATGCACCTCGTGTACAAAAAAATCTCACGAGAAAACAGAAACACCAAGGTAAACATAATTAGCCTGCTAAAGAACCAAAACGTGTGTGAAGTCCATCTCCAACTCAGAGGACAAAATTACACTTTCTGGACAAATATGATTTTTCAAAGACCCTGGAAATGTTGTGTACGTTGTGAGATGGTATAGGAACAGGCGTGAAACTCAAAGAACACCGTCCCCACAGGGACAACGCAGACGTACAGTCTGATACAGTAGAGATTCTTCACGGCATCTAGAACCTAGAGTCTGCTGTGCGTGGAAAGTGCAAAGACATAAAAATTAGATGATTTGATGTCTTCATAGTAATCCACAAAAATCGTTTCGAGGGTCTGAAGACTATAATTTAAGAAGAGTCTTGAAAAAAATCCTTCAACCAATTAAAACACTGGATTAACAGTCAAGATCCACCTGAGAGTGAAACACCAGTAGCTTACTATATAAATGACTGCAATTTTCTTTGCTAAGAAAATGGAGGAAAATGAAATAAAAATGGAAAATGTTAGAATGTGAAGTGAGAATGATTTCAAACGAGTTTTTTTATTATTAAAAAACAAACAAACAAGTGTATATTTTTACTACAGCCTCTTCAACCACATCTAGTATGTTTTAAAAAAAAGTCTTGCGTTGTATAAAAGCACTTGGGAATTACTTTTTTTCCTCCCCGGGATAATCTCATGGATTTGTCCTCGGTTGCATTGTTCCTGTTTGAATATTTTTCTTATTGTTCCAGGAAAAAGAATCCTAATTTAAAACTACTGTTAGAGCTGTCCCAGACGGATGCGTGTAAAAAAGGGAAATGTTGCATTTTACTGATTATTAACAGACTAGGGTAATACATACATATGATTTCCTGCTCATCTTTCAATCGTGGTCTTTGTGCAAGTGCAAAATGTATAAAACTTTTCTTTTTAAATACATTTAAAAAATCAAATGATACATTTAATAATTAAATTCTGATCTACTTCCATTTTCTAATATTGCACATGTTAGAAAGAACTATATTAGATATATATATTAGGAGATATGTTGTGCCTATGTGTGTGTGTTTCTGGTATAGGTATAATTATGGGGACATAATGGGGGGCTGTCGTGGCAGTACTTTTGTTCTGGGGACACTTGTCTTTGTGGGGACATTTTGCAGGTGCCCGCTCGGTGAGAGGGCGTTTTGAGATTCGTGATTTATTTTGGAGTTAGCATTAGAACTACAGTCTTTTTAGAGTTAAGATAAGGATTTATAATTAAACAACTACAGGCCTCTATATTTGTAGCTATGTTTACGTGGAGCTAGAGAATGCATTATGTCTAATTCAAGTGTTAGCAAGTGTGTGTGTTTGCAAAGTTGTTGCCAGTTCCGGGCCATGTCTGCCACTGTTACCTTTAGTGCTAATGGAGGCTAAAACCTGGATCTCCTTCTGCAGCATTATATTTCTGAGGCTCTGGTTGATGTTAAAACAAAAACGTAAAATGGCAGTGACCTGATATCTGGGCACAGATTCTGTTTTACATTTGTTTTTAGATTCAGATTTAAAAAGTGTATTCAGTACGTGAAGGTGTTGTATGTGTGCATGTGGCTGTGTGTGTACTGTATGTGCTTCGGTATTTGGGGTTAAATTCGGTTCACACTCCAGCAGTGACAGCCTATAAGATTCTGTTCAGTAGCCCGTGGCTGCTGTGTGTGTGTGTGTGTGTGTGTGTGGACAAACACTTGCCTGTTTATGTTTTCTTACACATTGAGTATGTAAGTGTTTGCTGCTAACTGTGGCTGAGCTGTTGTGCTTGTCTGATCGAAACCTGACTCCAGGCCAACACTCTGAGGTTTATAATCTCCAGCAATTAGTCCTTGTCCTCCAAACCAGACCCTCATGCCTCCAGATCAGCAATTAGACGGCCCCAAGTGCCTGGTCAGCATGTTTCTCATCTCTCTCTCTCTCACACACACACGCTCTTTTCCATGACCGCTAAAATGTACTGTAAACTCCCTGTACAGCAGTCTTTACATACACACACGCGCGCTGACATCTCTGTGTATTTACTCTTGTCCAGCAGCTGCCAATCATCATTTTTGTCACCCACTGAAGAGATTTTTGGTCTTTGATTTACCACATCATAATAAGATTTTCTCTGCCCTGTCTTCAATTTTATTTTTAATCAATTAGCCACCACAGCATCTAAAACACAATGTTATTAAACACACAGATGCTCCATATGTATATACGTATATATATATATATATATATATATATATATATATATATTTATTTATATATGCCATGGAAATAAGTACGTAATTCTGCACTGATTTAGTGAATCCAGAAAATAACTAAATGAAAAATTAGCAGGGATCTAGCCAAAAGATAACTAAAAAATAGTCCATAAGGAAAAAAAATTATAATAAACAAAAAAACATTACATTTGTTTATGGGGAATTTTAAAAAAGCATTAAAGAGCTAATATTAAAATAAAAAGTTGATGAATGTTGAAAGGTTAGCCAAACATTAACAACATAGCACAAAGGTATTCAATTTTATTTAAAAATCAGAAAAATATATCAATAAATTAAAAACGTGAAGTTAATATTTACTTAATGCAAATATAAGTGGAAATTAATATATGGTTATATATTTAGATGATGGTTGGCAGTTAAAATTCTTACACGGCAGAATTATTTGGGAACAGTTACAGTCAATATTTTTTCTCCTACTCTGCCATTTGGTTTCTCTTTCCTTATTTCATGACTTTGACACATTAACATTTCCAGAGTTCTGTATAAAATTCAACCTCGCATTTGGTCGAGAATTAATTTATTTTAAAAAGTCCTGCAATAGCACTGTGAAGCAATGGTGCCTGCGGCAGCCACGGCGATGCTTACTTCTGTAAATATATATTCTAATCTGGGTTTAGGCCAGGTCCAAACTCAGCTAAACACCAGTGCGAGTCCAGGCCCTCAGGGCGGACTGGAAAACCTCTGGAGATATTTCCTCATCTGTGTCAGCCTCTCATCTGGCTTTGGACTGACAGCTGCTTTAATGGGGCGTAATAGCAGGAAATCAGAGTGGGTTTCCTTCTCCCTGTACCTATGTGTGTGTGTGTGTGTGTGTGTGTGTGTCCATGTGATGGGGGTGCAGGATAGAGCCCGCACTGTGCCTCTTCAGCCAGTGTCAGACCTCTGGGGCTTGCTGCACACATGCACATGCACTCAGACTACTCTTTTCTTTATCAGCCCCTCCTCGACTCCCTCTGCTTGTTCCTCCTCCTCCTCTTTCTCCTCAGCTCACTCTGTAGAAACTCTATCCCTGACCGTGAGCTGCAGGCCACACAGGAAGTTGCACTAATCAGGGGCAACCCTAGGATATCGAGGCAGTAACGTGAGTCCATGTAGGGGAGGGATCATTGTGTGTGTGCGTGTGCGTGTGTGTGGTGCATCTGCATTTCAGTAATAATTACTCATCAGCCTACCTCTGCTTAGCTGATTAAGGCACCGCTAGGTCTTTAAATGCCACAACCACAGACTGTGATTGGTTAAGATCTGAATCAATTAAATGTTAAATGTTAGATTTTTAATTAGACACCACTCCATTGAAGCATATAGAAAAATAATAAGCGTGTACTGAAATGGTTGGCCTGAGTGCATAATTAGGCAGTTACTATTGAAAAGGTGCTGGGTATGGAGAAAATGAACAAGTCTCCATTCTACCTACGTAAATGGAATGAGCCACCCTTTGTATGTTGTGTAATGGAATTGCCGAATACACTTGTAATTTATACACATTGTCCTGAAGAAAATATTTTTATCCTTTTAACACAAGACAAGACAAAGTAGAGGAGCATGACATCACTGTACATGACAAAAGATAACATGTAACGAGACGAGATAATGTAATGTTACGTAATGTATCGCAGTGTAACATGATATGACAAAAGATAACTTGTGTATCATTTTATGTGATATGACAAAAGATAACTTGTGTATCGTAACATAACATAAAATGACATAACTAAAGTAAACACATAAGATTAAGAAATAGCTGTTTGTTAAAGTAACAATAAATATCATAGTAAGGAAGAAAGAATAAAGGATGTTAAAAGAGTTGAATTCACAGGAATAAATATTGTAAACAAAAAATTAAAGAAAACATAAGATTTGCCCAGGAAGGCAGGAAGGCGAACATAAGAAGTTACTTGAGAAAAATACAACAATAATCCAAGGGGCAGAGGCTCTGTAATAGGTTAGTGCTGCATTTCAGTGCATCAGGGTCATAAAGGCGCTCTGTATGTCATAAACTGTCTATCTGTTCATTTGCTTGGCAGTAGAACTGGATTTTTTCTATCTATTTATCAACTTCTGGGTACGGAAACAAAAAAAGCTGATTCTTCAAGACTGGATCTGTTCACAGGTCAAAACTGTCGTACCTTTAAATCTCAGATCAGATTTAAAGAGTCCTTGCCCAATTTAAATGTTGTGTTTTATACACCGCTGAAGCTTCTCAGGGGAGATCTAACACAGATTAATATAATCTCACAGTACACCAGGAATAATCCTAAAGCACAAGTAGGTGAAATAAATGAAGGGTTCAGACTGAGAGAAGAGAGCATGTAGGAGAAAGGCCTGAGGCTGATGTTTGGCATAGTAGGCATGAGTGAAATGTTCTTTCCGTCTGATGAAGGATATAAGGCCTGGGAGGACTGATGTTGTTTTATGGTTAAAAAGAAAGAACAAAAAAAGGGTAGAAACATGGAAACAGTGTGAGGAGGTAGGGAGGATGAAGACGGAGGAGCTAGAGGAGATGTAGGCTAAGAAGTGAAGGATGATGTGCAGCTTCTCTGTGTTGTGTCTCGGAGCACGAAAGTGACAAGCTGTCATCCCAGATTAGCTCTAACTTTCCGAAACGTTTTCCTTTTTACTGTAGAAACACTCAGGAATTCTCCATGACAATACAGAGCGATGTGCACACCCTGCACAGTAAGCCACGGAGAGCCCTCGTCTCCACAGTGGCTGTGTTGGGTCACTGCATAAAATAAGTGACAACCTTCTGTATGTCAGTGTGTGTTGGGTAAATTCAATTCCAAGGTCAGCGCCGAGACACGTCTGGTGCTGTTGCTCCACATGTTGAACCTCATCGTAACGATGTGGATATTGTTGCAGTAACTGGCTGGAGTTTATTGTCAGACGGACAGAGACATGAGGCAGGATAATGACAGACAAATATTCTCTACCATTCTGAAAACACACCACCGCTGGCTCAGTGAAGGAGGAGGAGGAGGAGGAGGAGGAAGGGTACGAGGCAGTGAGATGTCAGGGCTATAGTGTTCTTTCATTCCAGATAGAGTGGGTTGGAGAGCACTGATGAGCTGCCAAATCCACTCACTTGGCGGCCCCTCATGTTCTCCTGCACCCCTGTCATTCTGCTCTTTTCCTGCCATTCCTCTTCCCGCCTCAGACACCTACCTCCTCTCTCCTTTTTCCATTCTTGTCATCCTGATCCTCCAGCCCCCATCCCCACCTCCCCAGCTCCACTGCTCTTTTATTAAAAGGCTAATGCCAGTTGCTGATGTTGTGTTGATGTGAGGCCAGTGTGAAGAGGAGGACTGAGGCCGACTGTTTGTTTCTTAAAAAGCTTCATGTAGCTTCATGTTTAAATGTGTTCAAAGGACACAAGTATACACTAATGATTTAATTATTTCTAGTACTGTAGAGTACTGTAGAGGAACAATCCCCGATTTTTTTTTTTTTTTTGTACCAAGGATCAGTACCACAGACCGGTACTGCTGCACTGATCATTAAAGGATCCTTATGGATCAGTATATTTTCAAAAGTATACACTAATGATTTAATTATTTCTAGTACTGTAGAGTACTGTAGAGGAACAATCCCCGATTTTTTAATCTTTAAATGAAAAACATGAATGAAAATGAATGAGTTCTCTTTAAATGAAGTTGTTAATTTTTTTATTGCGTCCCTTATACCAAATGACCCATGGACTGCTACTGGTCCATGGACCAGGGGTTGGGAACTTGCTGCTCTAATGATAATGATTGAAGCATGCATTTAAATCCAAGAATCAGCGTTTGACCTTTTTGTACTTCACAGTACTCAACCTGAGCGCATGACTGTAGGTGTAGTGTGAATGTGTATGTTTTGTCCAGAGCGTGATGGGACATTATAAACGACATATTGTTGTCCGACCTCCTGTCATGGCTGGATCCCATACCACTCGTCAGTCCTTACGCTGCAGCAGTGGGTATTTATAAAGTAAGACATAAACCGAAGCATGGAAACAACCACAGGTCTATTGTTTGGAGTAGGAAAGAACACATTATTCATAGCAGCAGTGGATAACATGTTCAATAATAGGCTACAACGCTGGAGAAGGGTGCAGTCTTAGAGAGGTGCTGAGCAGCAGGAGCCAAACTGACTCTCATAATATTTTTATTTTATTATTATTAGGAAAAATTCAGTGCAACATGGATAAAAAAAATAAGGTTAACATGTATTGATATTGCCTTTTATTAAAAAAGGAACTCAGGCCACATTTGATCTGTGCATGGAAATGTACTGCAGTGATTGCTCCTGACTCAGGGTAGTGGTAATACTAGTGGTCCAAATCTGGGTGGATGCAGTTTGGCCCAAGTTGATTGTTTATATTTCTTGTCCACTGTGTTGCTCCTGAGGAAGCACTAAGTCACACTCTTCCTACCTCACTCCATGACATGACATGACTGCTGACCATAAATATGACTCCCACGGCCTGATTCCTTAGGTGTAGAACCACAAATATTTTAAAATGATTGAAGCTCTGGTACCGTATGGAGGGACACTCATTTTCTAGCATGTTTTCCGTGGGATCTGGTGATGTGGGATGTTTACTGTGTCATATGACGTGTCCTGAAGTGACTTGAGCTTTTTTTTTTTTGACCATTGCATCAAGTTGAAGTTTTAGTCCAATCCTAATTGTGTACTACTATTACTGCCTTATACAGATGTTTAATATTTTATATATAATACAAATGTATTTCAGCTTATTCTTACCAAATAGGTTATATTTATATAGGTTAAATTTGCTAAATAATTCTTACCAAATAGGTTATATTTATATTTATTTATTTAATTTATAAATAACTCCAACCAAATATCACCTAAAGTCCAAGAGGATGTTTTGGAAGATAAATAACTCATGTTGCAGGTTTAACAGGGTAAAACGTTTGTACCTCACTAAAACATCGGGAAAGACTGAAAATAAATAAGGAAGTAGTTTTATTTGTGTGTGAGAAAGGACATTGTTTTTACTCATTACAATGCGTGGTTCTATGAATTTGGATATTTTACACTCGGTTGTAGATACTCAGGAAATCATAACCCATAAACCCCACTTAACGACCAAATATGACATAGAAAAGACCAAGGACTGAGTCCTGTTCATGTGGCAATAACCTGATTTTCTCTCTGTCTCCTCTGTGGCGTTCGGTCAGACATCTGTGGCCCACATTGTTTTGAACACAGTCCCTGCAGTTCATTCAGAGTCAGTCCTGCTAATCCGGCCTCTGTAAACACTTGCTAAGCCTCAACTGTTTAATAATCCGAAACTGACAATACACCACAACAAATGTTACATTGCATTATGTCTGACAAACGCTGGACGACAGAAAATACCCCGTGAAATGATCGCAGTGTCCTGTTTGTCTCTGTGAGAGAGAGGAGTTAGAAGAAAACTAAGATGTATGAGACAAAGAAAATGACACAATATCATGGAATGAATGAAAACTGTCAAACCTTAAAGCAGGGGTCTCAAACTCCTGGCTGGTGTCCCATTTATGGCCCACAAACCACCCACACATGGCCCACAACTGGATGTCATCATATGATCTGAACTTAGTTTTCAGCTCCTTTATGAGGTGGTAGAGGCAACAGTGGCCTCAGACACATGTGCTCTAAGGCCTGAAGAGAGAGCTCGGTCTCTGTGACTAAACAACTAAGTTGAACCGCTAACGCCAGTACGGTGAATTATTTTCATGCATCACATCAAAATTCTTAATACAGTGAGAAGCTCCTCAGCTTTTCTTTTTCAAACTTCGTCAGTTACCAAGGCAATTATTTCACCCATTGTTTGTCTCTGTCCTCTACTTTCGCAGTTTTCCACAGTGAGATATGTTAAATTGTCATTACAAGGTCTTAGGAACTAGTATGTTGGAGCCAAGTAACAGTTTTTTTTTACATTATAAACGTACTACTACTGTAGTTTTCAACAACTAGAAACACAATTTGGACGTGTTTTTACCACTTGCTGTTTAAATCTATACTAAATCTTTGTGAAAAATTCTACATCTCTCTGAAAGATTTTCTGTCTTGGGCTAATAACCTGCTCTGTCAAGCTAACAGCCTTCTGTTATCTCTGGCGTTTTTTTTTTGTAGTTGATCAACTGATTTTCCAAGTCAACAAGGCAGTTTATACACTCTGTGCACAGAGGGACATGGACTGCATTGGAAATAGCTAATTTAGCAGCTAATGTCAGTTTGAACTGTCGGAACTGTTGCTAATGAGTTCAACAGTAAAAACAAGTTGAGACTTGGACTGTGTCAGTGTTTGGGTTTATTTCTTTCACTGATTCCCTATTTCCCTGCGACCTCCTGTTCATTTCTCTCTCGTCTTCTCCATCTGTGTGCCCGCCTCGACCCCATCACCCCCCCCACACACACACACACACCCTCTACAGCAGTACATCAGGTGGTTTAGGTTTGTATGCAGTCTGAGCTCACTGTTGCTATCAGTTACAGCGGAGTGATGTGGAGTGATGTCATCCAAGTCTTTCTTCATCGTCCACCGCGTGTAAAAACCACCTCTACTTACGCATGTTGAATTGTTCCCTCTGTGTGTGTGTGTGTGTGTGTGTGTCTGAGTTCATGTGTACATGTCAGGGTCTTCATGCATCAGCCAGGAAATTGCAGGTGTTGGTTTGTTTGCATTCAAGGCTCAGCTTGCAGCCGCAGTCAAGAGCCTTCTCTGAAGGCCACATCCTCCTCCGAGCTTTCTTCCTTTAAACTTCAGACTCCTGCCAGGACTCGAAGCCTCTTAAGAAACATTCTTTTTCAAACGCAGCTTTTTCCTAATATTTTACAAGAAAAAAACAAAAAGAAAAATCAGCACATGCTCAAAACCGTCCCATGTCTGGAGATGTGCTGCGAGATTTCAAAGATTTTAGAATTTCATCGTGTGTTGCGATTTTCTGTGCTGAACTGTTGCCAAACCAATAATTCCTCGCTCTGTGTCCTTCTGCTGCCTGTCTTCCTGTCTCCCTCACAGTAGGTTTGGTACTAAGTGTGCTCGCTGTGGGCGGCAGATATACGCCAGTGACTGGGTGCGGCGAGCGAGGGGAAATGCGTATCACTTGGCATGTTTCGCCTGTTACTCGTGTAAGAGGCAGCTGTCTACGGGAGAGGAGTTTGGTCTGGTGGAGGAGAAGGTTCTGTGCAGGATTCACTATGACACCATGGTGGAGAACCTCAAACGAGCCGCTGAGACTGGTGAGAGATTTTAGTTCTGGCTAAAAAGATGTCACACTTCCTTAGTGTGGATCCAGATGTCTGTTTGAAATGATTCCTCTGAAACAGGATCGGTTAAAAAATGGATGTGTTTGGAATAAGCATGAAATATATTGATTAGTATTTCCTAAGTATCAGTTACATTGAGGAAAAAAAGATTTATTTATAAAAATTCAATTAATTATTGGAAATTTTTTTTTTTGTAATTTAATTTAAACTAAAATTCCTAATTTTCAAAACTTGCATTTCTTGGGAAAGTGTCTATGTTTTGCCTTGTAAAAGGATCAGAAAACATAAACAATTCATTCCTTCAAGTAGTTTAAATTAAAATAAAATTTTACTTACAACAAAATGTATAAAATATAAATATAAAATAATATATATAAATATATATTATTTTATTTTATTTCTCAGGAAACGGCATCACATTAGAAGGAGCAGTTCCAACAGAGCAGGACAGTCAACCCAAACCGGCCAAAAGAGCACGGACATCCTTCACTGCGGAGCAGCTACAGGTCAGAACACACTTCATCCACATTACGTTCCAGAAAGACACAACATTTCCACTCATTAATGTTTTGTTTCAACACGTAGATCATGCAGGCTCAGTTTGCCCAGGACAACAACCCAGACGCACAGACACTACAGAAACTGGCCGACATGACGGGCCTGAGCAGGAGAGTCATACAGGTCAGTGAGAGAAATGTTTTGTCTCAGTCTATTTAAAACAAGTTAAAAAAAAATACTTCTGAGGAAAAAAAAAATCTCTACATGATGTCTGGTTACGTTGCATCTTCATAGGTGTGGTTTCAAAACTGCAGAGCAAGACACAAAAAGCACACACCCCAACACAGCGGGGGTCCACAAGGTCATCCTCAGTCCAGAATACCTTCGTCCCTGTCCGATGAGCTGCATTACTCCCCCTTCGGCAGTCCTGAGCGGGCGCGCATGGTGGCCCTCCATGGGTACATCGACAGTGAGTCATATTTGTCATGATAACAGACTTTATAACTTAATAACCTGAATAGTGCTATTTATCCCAGGTATTGTCTCTTTCAAATGTTTAGAAGAAAAAAAAGAAATCAGATAAATTTCCATCAAAAACTGTTGAGCAGCTTTAAATATTTAACTGGGTTTCCACTCATACACTGATGTTTGTTCTGATTCCAAAATGACTTCTTTTTTAAGGGTTTAAAAAACCTCCCTGAATAAAACACATGTCAATATTTGACAAAAATACAACAACTAATCTTGTCACCAAAACTCCTGAGAGTTGTGTCTCCACATGACAAACGTAGTTTAAATACAAACACCTGTCTCAGACCGTTTTGACTAACCTACCTTTGTTAACCTCCTCCATTAAGCCTTATTCAAACCTCCTTGTTGCGTCCTTTCTGTGTGTGTTCCTCAGGTCACCCCTTCTCCGTGCTGACCTCCCAGAGTCTCCCCCACCAGGCCATGTCACTGCCCCAGCTTCCCCTCAGCCGCTAGCGTTCCACAGCAACCCCCATGAACCTTAACCTTCAGACCCCAATCCTTGATCTCCCATCAGCAGCGTCTGCCAACCTGACCCGCGGGTCAAAGCGGTCAGAGTCATAATGAAGACAGGAGAAGGGGCCGGCCCACTCAGAAAAAAAACGAGGCGAGGAGAGAATTATTTCACCGACAGCCTTTCTGACACAGACCTAGATTAACTTTGTTTTCTTCAGGTGTGTACCAAGTGTCACAGTACCTGTTCTTGGTGTGAGGTGAAGGTCAAGGTAGTTGTAGAAAAAGAGACAGCGATTGGGGCTGATGCCACTGGGGTGCTGTCAGAATACAGAGGGGAAAAAAGAGGGAAAAAATTGAGAAGAAGTCAAAGTGATCCAAAATGGATGACATAAATAGCAGGCAACATTAGAGGTTTGTCGCTGACCATTCTCACTACACTATGAAGGAGAAAGAAAACATAATGGAACGGGTTGACATGTTTCATGAAGTAGTAGTTACATCAACGGCAACTGGACCGGAAGGTTTTTCAGTTCCAGAGAGCTAAAGAACCTTCACTGTGTCAGAGGGCGGCCCACATGGTTGAACTGGTGTGACAATTTGGGATTCTTATACTGGTGTGAATGCAAACACTTTTTCTTTTGTCGAGGACCCGTCGTTTTTTTTTTTTTTTTTTTTTTGGGTAAATCTGTGTTGCTACGTTGACTTGTTGTAAATGAAGGAAAACCACGAAGCACAGTGTCTCAGTGAAATCATTATCTGACACAGATGCAAAAAGGAAAACCGTGAGAATAAAAACTCCAAACTACATTCCTGGAAGAGGAAGATACTTTTCAAGTGACATATTTTCATACTTTTGATGCTTTTACACTAATTTATAATTTTTGGCTCTTGGTTTGTTTAGCCTCTGTGCATGTGTCGTCATGCCACGAGGGAGACGGAGTTGGTACAGAATAGACCATATGAAACGAGCTGGGGTGTATATAGTAAAGATATGTGGGAGTGAGTGAGTGTGTGTGTCAGTGTGTTTGTTTGTGTGTGTGTGTGCGTATTTGTATATTACTGCCATGGCCAATGTGTGAAGACCAGGATCCAATGAGACCTCAATGTCCTTGTATTTATTGAGATGGTTAAATCCCTGTAAAGCACTTTCCTCCCCCACCCTCTGTAAATGTTCAGTTTTTATTATAAAACATAAATAAAATGACACAAAAAGTTTATTTGATAGACTGTTCATCATAAATGTTGTGTACTACATTGGAATTAAAATCAAACGTAAAATTTCCCTGTTTGTTGGATTATTCCGTACCATGAAATGGAAAGAATGAGCAATTCATTAGTTTCAATGTCCCCAACAACACAGTTGGTGAAAACTGATAAAATATATAAATGAAATGAAATTAAGTAAGCTTTTTATGTAATGTTAATTAATGAAATTAATTAGTGTTTGTAATTAGAAATTAACAACCATTTTTATTTGTATGTTTACATTCAATATATGTGTCTATATGTATATATATACACACACACGCATATATATAAATATATAGATATATTCAAATACATATTTATTAAGTCAAGTCAATATTATTTTCAGGCCACATTTGTCTTTGTCTATGTGTATATATATATTTATATATATATGCATTGACGTACGTATATTAAGCTTACTACAGTTAACTCATTTGTTATCTAATTTTGTCTCATTTCTTGAGTTGTTCTGTTGTCAGTAATGTTGTAAAATTGTGTTAGCTAAAAAACACAAAAAATTTCACAATCCATGTCAAACTGTTATTTCAGTTCGTGTATTTAATTTAAGACACGACCACACTGGCACTGTTTATTTTAACCTCATCTCAACTATAGCCCTAACTCAAGACTGACCTGATTCCTTAAAGTACTCTCTTAGACAGTCCCCAAAAGAACAGGCGTCCCCACTACAATAGTACTTTTTTAAAAAAGTGTCCCCACAAGTATAAGAACACAAAGACATGCACACACACATTAGCTTAGCACACATTATATATTATATTTATACATACTTATACACATAAATATACATACACACATATATTTGTAGGTACTGTATATATACATACATACATACAAATATATGTATATATATATACATATATATATATATATATATTAATAAATGTATGCACACTCTTGCACCAGCTCACTTCTTCTCAGGACAAAGACAAAAATATTTGCGTTGAAGTTTTTATTTAAATAGAGAACTCAAACATGCTGTAATATTCATAGAAACACTTCAGTGATATTTAACATTCTCTTCAGGTCATTTTGCAGCATCTTCTTCCATTTTACTGCGAACACTCTTGTCTTGGCCTTTCTGACAACAGCGCACAATCCACTCGTGTTCCATGTCGTCTGTAGAAAAATTTTCCGTTAAACGTTATTGAAGATTTTTGGTTAACAAAATTGAATTATTTATCCCACCATTTGCCCCAGACCTAAACACAACATATAACCGATCACAGAGTGAAAGTCTTCGCAGCGAGGTGCTGCATTCACTGGCAGCAGCCCGCATAATTAAACCTCAGGTCATTTGGATGGTGAGCATGCGACGACAGTGAAGTGGCCAATAAATGTGTGAAATCAAGATAACCCCTGACGATTAGCAGAAAATAACTTCTCAGCCACACTTCAGAGCCCAATCAATGGCCACCAACCGAGACGGTTTTGACGCCGATTTTTTAAAAAAAACACCAAACGTTTGCCAAAGGAGCTGATAATAAAGCAGTTTTGTCATTGTTAAAAACTGAAATGAGTAGCTAATTGCAGGGGAAGTGAGCCTTTTTCTGGAGCGCGTGCAGCTGCACACACTTGAGTCACTCGTGGGCCTCACCCTTAGGTTCCACTGCACGCGGGCTGCCATTGTAGGGCCGAGCAGGTCTGCAGCTCTTGGGCTGATTGTGTGTAATTGCCAGCACTGGACGTCAACACTAACAGCCACTTCAACTGTGAGACGGCCCCGTTTCCCTCCTCTCCTTCCTCCGCCTGACTCTGAGTCTTTTACCTGCAGCTCCATTGAACGTGTCGTCCACGCGGGCAGCTGCCGCACAAACCTTCACGGCAGTCTTTGTGACATACTTGTTAGTGGGGGTGGGGGCATGTTGGCAATTACCAGAGCCTACGTCTCGCTGTGTCAGCGTGTTGCCAAGAGACTGACCTCACTTATCCACCAACCACAACCTGCCCAGCCATAATCAGTGTGGGGCATTTTCATATTTGCTGTAATTCTGCCCTCTTCAGACTGTGTGGCAGCGTTTACTGCAGGATTAACCAGTGTGTAATTGCTACCTTGAGTTATGTGACGGCACAGGTGGCTGGGAGCATTTTTTAATTTCCAGCAATTTCAGAACAACAGGGCATGTTTGGGATTTGTTTAAAAAAAAGGAACCAGTATGTTAATGCAAAGAATGTAACACAAAGAGATGACATTGAATCACAGTGGAATACATTAAAATACATCTGGATGTACGGAGGGGACTTAGAACTTTGTATAAAAATGTACTTGAAGCAACAGGTAAATGACCGCACGCTTAGAACAAGTTGGAACAGCAGCAGTGAATTGTCTATTTCTGTGCAATAGCTTGAACCACACATATTTTCTTTTTAATCCTCGTCATTTTTTTAATCCAGTCGCTAGCTGGATCGGACAGTTTTGCGAGGAGGCATTTGCCCCGCTAGCCTTCGATTGATAATAAAATTCAAAGTCTTTGGTCACAGTAGTTTAACCCAGTTGTCCTCTGCAGGGCCGTAGGGACTTTTTGGTTGATTAGTCAATTTTTTAAAAATTGTTGCACCTGGGGTGTAGGGACTTTTTGGTTGATTAGTCAATTAGATTAGTCAAAAATTGTTGCACCTTGGATCATAGTGTTCCTGTTTATGGCATGTCGCGCAAAGGAAGTTGAGCGTTTGGGCAAATGTATTGGAGCTGGCGGGCTATAGTTGTTTTTACGATGTTTGATCCTGAAATTTTCAGCAATATCAGACCGATACATATATAAATATATATATATGTATATATATATATATATATACATATATATATCTATTTATATATTATATATTTTTTTATATTTATTTTTCTTATTTGTCTGTCATTTCAGCATGGTAGTTTCTGCTTGGAGTCATGTGCAGGTTCAGCTGCAGGTTCTGCCCCTGCCTTCACGCCAAGAGAAAAGTTATTTTAAAATTTTTTTTAGGACAATATTTTAATTCTTTGTCGTTATGCGCTGAGAAAAAAATATTTTTTTTACAATTTTCTGACATTTCTTTTGTGAAATTATTTGCAGTCATCAGCGTCATCTTGTCCTGGTAATGACTTTAGTTTCTTCCCACCTGGACCTGTTACCATCTATTTGTCCAATCGTTAACATTTTAGCTACTTGTTTAATTTTTTCTTAATTGCTTAGTGCGTCAGTCTTGTGATTTGTCTTAATTTGACAAATGACAAAAACAAAATAAATTCCCGATTTCATTACTTTTTTTTCAATAACAACTCCAGTCTTTGATGTAAACTTCCTAACCTTTTGTGTTTGTAACGTGTTTCTGTGTCGTCAACTTCAAATTCACCAAAGTGCAGCACAAACACGGGCTTGTTTATCGAACGTTTTTCTGGTTGATCTCCATCTCGACAGTTGCAACCTGCATGGCTGACCTTCACGCAGCGTACACACAGATACACTGTGTGTGGGTGTGTGTGTGTGTGTGTGTGAAAGCGATAATGGCACCTTGTTAAAGTCTGTTTATTTTAATCCTTAAAATACACTCTGAGGAAAAGTGTTTCCTTCCAGTGTAATGGCAGCAAATTAACACACACATCAATGCACACGGGGTTTCGCTCATATTTTGTCTTTACCTGGACATAAACCATTCTGTGTCTAATCCTTACCTTTTGTCCAACCTTAATTCTCCTAATCCCAACCTCAAATTAAATCTTGACCCCCAGAATAACTTCTCACTTAGAGTTGGAACAAAACTGTCCCCACAAAAATGTGTCCCGAAATTAAATTAAGCAAACGGTGTAAGTGATTAAAATTGACTAATTTCATCAAACTTTTATGTTTTTTGTGCTTATGTTCAGTCACGCCACAATTTAAAACTTTTTTTTTTAAGGTTAATTCACAAGCAAACTCGTGGAACGTGGGCCGAATGTAGCCCGCCACATCATCTTATGTGGTCCACCAGAGCTTACATGTGGTTGTACCTTTTGTGTGTATTTTATATATAGTTATATATAGTTATATATATATATATATATATATATATATACATATATATATATGTATATATATATATATATGTATGTATGTATGTATCATATCTATTTGAAAAATCTGATATCGCCCAGTTAATATATATATATATAAAAATATATTTAAAAAATAGTTTTTTTCAGTTTTTTTTTAATGTCAATATTATTGTTGTTATTATTATTCAGGAAAGGGCAGGGTGAAGGTTAACTCCACTGCCCGGGGCTCTGGCTGATTTTATCTGTCTGTGAAACACCTCCGCAGGACGAGGACAAAGGGAGGGGCCTCGGTTTGGTCACCAGTGGTGTTTTCCTTGGCCGTGGAATGTTTGGAGTGTGAAACCCTCTCGGCTGCCACTTTCAAAGGGAAGCGCTTCGTCCAGAAACAGGAAAGTGCTACAAACAATATGGCAACACATGGCCCCTGCTCTGCTGCTGCCGCTGCTGAGTGTTGCTGCCTGTTGCCAGAACAGAAAACACACAACTGGCTCACTGTGAGTGTGTGTGTGTGTGTGTGTGTTTGTTTGTAGTAACAGGACACACTCAATCAGTGGTGCTGGAGGTTTGATTGTGCAGATGTGGCCTGTGCATCTTTTTCCCCTCACTGCTCTTTAATGACTGTTTTACTGAGTAATGCAAATGTTTTAAATTTCACCTCCGAAGGCCGAGCAGCAACAATCACGTCTGTGGGAGTGGGAGTGAGGGGGGAGGGGGCAAAGTTGAACTCTGGAGTTGTTTGTACTGAAAATGTTTAGTTGTTTGATTATGTGATTTGTGTTTCATATTTAGCAGTAATCGTTTGATGGTGCCGTCGTGCGTTGGCTTTCTTTAAGCTGTGTTATGACACACAGAGGTGGCCGTGAGTGGAAGCACATGGTCGCTGGCTTTCTTTTATATTACAGAGAAAAAATGCAAAACCAATTTAAATCATACTTCAGACTCCCCGCATTAAACTAAGACGTGCGTCAGTCAGTGATGGGCGATACCAGATTCTTTAAACCGATATGATACCAATTACTTTTTTGGCAGTTTTTTTCCCCGATACTGATACTTGATGGATTTTTGTTTTAACCCAGTAAAATACATGAGAAATTCTTAACTAATCATAAGTGGAAATCTGTTAAAACGAGGCAAAAGCAGTCTGTGACCTGGTGTGAGAACTCCAAGAAAACTCAAAAAAACAACCCATAAACTCTTTGACAGAAACACTGCAGTACTTGCAGTGTGTATCAGTAAAATGCGGATATGTAGCGAAATTTATCCAACTGCACTGTAGTTATTTTCATAAATGAAATTATTTTTCTATTTGTCTTGGAACTACTGCCCTCAAATAAATGACTTAAAATGATTGTTAAATTAGTAAAAAAAAAAATAAAAAAATCAAAGGTTTCAAAATTCATAATTCTTCCATAACTAGAGAGGAAACTGACATCAGCCCAGTGGCTTCACATCATGGGTGACTTTAAAAACAGTTTTTGAATCTGTCCACTGGCTTCGTAGATACGTTCTCCATGTGCAGAGTCACTTTCGTCCTGCGTGGCTATGACGGCTCCTCTAAACCAAGTAAACGTTTCCTAAATGTGTCACGTATTTGTGGAATTAGCTGAGTGCTGCGCTCAGAGCCAGAACGCTGTCTGTTGTGCTGCTCGTGGCCTCACATTAGAACTGTTTATCCAGGCTGACTTGTACTCAGGGTTTGACTCAGGTATTACTTTGACATGTGGAACAAACTGCTAACCTCGGAGTGGAGTGACTCATGTGACACGCTACGTCACGTGAGCCACAGCTGGTTCTCATGAAATTATTACATTATCCAATGCCATGTTTGAGTGTTGTAGACACTGGCGTCCAAAGTGTGTCTCGAGGGCCCATCGTGGTCCCTTCAGAGATTTTGTGTACAGTAGCTGATTATTTCTTTCTTTACAGTGATTTTGTTTTGGGAAAATTCTCAAGATAAATTAAATCACCCTCCTGGTTAACATCGAGCAACGTTTACCATGTTTATGGCTAATATTTAGCTTTTGCTAAACTAGCTAAATTAGCTACTGCTAAAGACCAATGATGATGTCTTACCCTGCCACCTAAAGGACAACTACACCCAGGTGTAGTTGTTTTTTCCACAATAGAATCATTTTTGTATTGTAATTTGTAATATGGCCTAATATTAGCATTTGTTTTTATTATTTTTGCTAAATGTACAGCAGGTCTTTAGATTACGACATCCTCGACTGACGACCTTCATGGTTATGTCCCCATCCCCGTTAAATTTTTTAACAAAGTCGTGTTCGATCATTTCGACGTATGGTGTTAAAACTAAAAACTAAAACGTCGACGGAACAAATATGTCTGTTCACAATCATCAATTTTGCAACATAAATTAGATTATGCTACATTTGGGTTTTTTTTTAAGAACTTTTTGCCTTTTATTATGGCTCCAGAATATTAGGTAAAACTTAAGGTAAGACTTAAAAAGGTAAAAATCGAGTTATGTCTCACCATAGGTACAGAACTTCGACAAGGACCCTCTGTATTGCAGTTTTTTGGCATTTATGGAGAAATGGGAAATGTTCTCTTCATAGTTTTCAAGTATTTTACTCTTAGCTAAATTTGATGTATCTTTGGGCAGTTGATCTCCATCCCAAATATTTTCTTCAGTGTTTTAAATAGATTGATTTGTACATCAAAATTATGTTAAGCATTCTACTAGCTTCTGGCTATTTGTGGGTTGGATTGTTTTTCATAAAATGGAAGAAAAGGTGAAATGTTAGTAAAACCACCCCATCCTCATTTCTCTCCAGTTTAATCTAGTTACACTGAGGTTTCCCACCTAATAATCCCAGTTCATACTCAATCTAATCCCTTTTTTTCCTCAATCTAATCTCTGTTTCCTCAGTCATTCTGTCGACATGGCGTTTTCTCAACCAAGCAGGCATTTCAGCAGCTCCTCCACGGCCAGAAATCAGTCCAATTCCCACAATACTCCACGTCTCCTGGGACATCTCAGTCACCAATCCTATTGTTTCACTGCCTGGCTCAAGTCCAAGAACGGCTGTTTATACATCATAGCAACAGTAACTAAGGACAACAGACCCACACTGGACAGTTCTGTTAGTTTGAATCAACAATAAGTGGATCCTTAATCATCTGCATTTTCTTTTACAACAGTTCCTTATGTTTAATTTTTTTTTTTTTAGTAACTTCTCCAGATTTGCCCTCTGTGTCTCACAGCTGTACATCCATCACTGGGGGGCGCTACATGAGGAGCTCTTATACAGCAAAGCTTCCCACAGGGTGTGTTTCCCCCTGTCCCACCTTCCTCCCCGTCAACATCTTGGGTGGAAGGAATTGTCCACCCAAGAAACTGTTTTTATAACATCGAAGAAAATTCACTTTTTAGAACTGTTTCAGGAGAACTGTTTCAAATGTTGGTCTGAAGGCCATTCCTTTGACAAATGTAACATTTTTGGGTCACTCCAAGCTAAAGTATATTCTAGCTTTGTGAGCGTTACTTGTTTCTGCCACTTTAAACTTTAAGCTAGATTTTTGTTTTATTGAAACTTATCGAGCCTACGTTTACTCGATATATCTGTGCTATATATGCTAGCTAACTATTAACTAAATAAATAATCAAAATAGTGAAAATATTATATATATATTATATATAACAGGTAGGTGGAAAGGAAAATGGGTAAAAGTTTTCCAATATGGACAAAAATAAAGAAGAAGGCATTAAAATTATTTTTTACATATAGTGTTGATGATGACTGATAAAGAAACAGTATTCAGAAAATAACAAACAAATAGCAACAGTTTAATCGAGGAACATCTAAAGGTTAGTCAAAATATTTGAAAAATAACTTAAATTCAGCCGAGAGCATGGCTAATATAAGGCAATGCTAGGTAACGTTAGCTAGAAATGGCTTACACATTGACGAAATGCCCTCAGGAAAGATTGCACTATTGAAAAATTACAGACATACCATATGTCACTTAAAAGACACACAGACAGTCTTTTAATGTTGCTCCAATAAATTCTGGAATAAGTCTCCTGAGGGGAACCCTCTGGCTCCCTCTGTAGACGAATGTAGACAAACACGTTTGTTCGCTGGAACCAAAGAAATAGCCAAAGATCTTAAAGCGGGGTGTCAATCTCATTTTGGTTCAGGGGCCGCATACAACCTAATTCGATGTGAAGTGGGCCGGACCAGTACAATCAGTACATAACATAATTACCTGTAAATAACAATGACAATAACAAACATAACATAATTACCTGTAAATAACAGTAACAATAACAAATGTTGTTCGCCTTTGTTTTTATGCAAAAAAGTAAAAATATATTGGATAAATCTTCTCATTTAATGAAATATAATTTCAGAAAACATTTCCTGAACGGAGTGTTTGTGTATTTTTTATTTTCAAAATTCATTAATTGGGCCAAATTGAAACACCAAGAGGGCTGGTTTGGGCCCACTGACCATATGTTTGACCACCCTGAAGTGAAGTATAGTGTAATTTTGAATCAGGAGAGAACTCTGTTCCTTTTTCCGAACGTGAGCATATTTCTGTACACTTGATACATCAGCTATTTTGCGATGAAAAGTGTTTTTTCTTCTTCTTTATTTACGCCGACTTCCTCCTCTATTCTCTGTCTCCCTTCCCTGTAAACCGTTCAGTTCAGTGATCAGTACCAGAAATATAATGATGACGACCAATCGGCACGAAGCAAAGTTGTGCTCATCGCATCTGGTGAGGATTGTGGATCTTCTTGTCTGTTTCCTTCTGTCTCTGCACAAATGTAAATGAGATGTGTGCACTGGTGGAACTAATCTGTATTATGTTGCGAGTTCAAATGAAAACAACAAATATTCTGCCCCAAAAAAATTACATTTCTACCTTGGGGAGTCGGTGAGTCATACCTCATCCTCTTCCAGGGCTTGTGTCCTGACACATGTCTGCATTTGCAAAGCAAGTAACAATTAAGTCAGTTCACATGTTCAGCAGACTCTAACAGACACAGTGTGCCGATCCAGACGTTGAAGCTGGACTTTGTCTGAAAAGTGCAGAACACCAGACGTTGGCTGATTTTAATAATTCCTGCGTTTTGTTCAAATGGAAGCACCAGGTCTGTGATTTATGATAAAAAAAAGCATGCATATGCAGTTGCTGCACATGTCCAATAAAAAGATTCAGGCAGGTCTGACCTACATTATATAAACGCATGGCAGAGGGATATATGACAAACTGGGAATGTCAGAAACTGGGAATTCCTACCAGGATACCTGACAAACTACATTCTCTTCACATGGTCAGATACAAATCCAGGCATGTGTACAGTGGAAAAACATGTCTTGGATTTTTCCATTTTTTTGACAAATAACATAAAATGAAATGACAGTAAGACCAAAAGACCAAAATAGACTGTGGAGGCATGGTTATCAGATGGCTTGTAAACTAATCTCCCATCAGGGCGGCCAGGAACAGTCCATCTTAAGTCATTCCATACTGTAGACGTTTAGGGTTTTCTTATCTTTCACATGTGGACTAACTGTGTTTCTGGTGAGATGGGCGGGCGGGTGGTCGATTACATAAAAATACTCCTACTAGAGACAACTACTCCTCCCCTGAACTGCATACAAATATACAGGCTTTAGCTACGGATTTAGCAACATGTTTGCCACAATTACACGTTAGGGAAACAAAAGCAGTACTAGCTAAATATTTTTTTTAAATTCATTAGAAAAGTCAACCATAGGTTAACATTAACTCTGAAGATAGTTAATGGTTAAACACCAATTTAAAAAAAAAAATGGAGCAATGAAAAAAATGCTACGTTAGCCAAAACTAGCCTTTTAGTAGGTTTCCTAAAAGTTAACTGAATATTTACAGAAAGCTAAAAGGATTTGATTGATTTTAAAAATAGCTAAATCTCAACAAAGAAATGTCAGGAATTACTTAAATAAATAAATGGCACAAGAAGGTGAAAGTAAACCCTAAGTAGCTAGAAGTTAGCTTTAAAAAGGCAAGAAAATAAATCCAAAAAAGATTAAATAAACAAGAATATCACTTAAAAAATACCTTAAAATTAAAACATACCTCCCCCAATTCCAAGATAATAAAACAAATGTTCAAGTGTGAAAATGATTCTCTAACAAATGTCTGTTTCAGTGTAAAGTGTTGGAGGTGTTGTCTTGGACCTGGCAGCAGCAGTAACTCCCTCAGTGCTAGTCTGGCCAACATTACAGCACCAACGTTAGTAGATCTTCCTGAGGTGCAGAGTGGACATTTCCTTCCTTGAATAATAAAAATATGATCGACCAACATTAGGAACAATTGCCCTTGACTCAAAGCACTAGCGCAGCGCTGTAACGGCCGATTCAGGGCTGTTAGAACTCGGCAGATATAAGCCACGTGTGCTGCGAACTGCAAACGGCACGAGTTAGAAATGAAGGTTGTTCCTGGTTATGATCAATTATAGAAAGGCTGAATTATGTTCCAGTGTAATGACTTTTAACATGTGGCAATCTGTCAGTGACAGCACTTTTCATTGGATGTAAAAAAGTTTGGTGCTTAATTTGAAAGGTAAATTTGTGTTTGCTCTCAACTTCAATCTTTCCAATTTATCTTGGCACCGCAGGCAAGAATGCCTGGATGTTACTCAGCACACACACACACACACACACACACAGACATACAGCCAATTTGGCAACTGGTCAGTGGAAAAGGTGCTCAGGAAATGTCAACAGTGATAGATGAATTCTGACTATGAAAAAACTTCAAAAATGTAAATATGTTATAAGAGGAATGTTTGTTCACGATGGAAATGATGTTGGTGAAAACATAGAGCTGCAATAATAATAATAATAATAATAAAATTTGATTAAAGCTAAACAGAAATAGTCAACAATTAATTGTTGCACAAAAAAAGAATGTAAAAAAGTGTATTTTAGTCAAAGTTAAGGTTACATTTCCACAACATTGTTATTATTGTTATTATTCTAATAATTATTTTTATTGTTATTATAACAATAATAATAATTATTATTGTTGTTGTTGATGTTTTATCATTATTATTATTATCTCACCTGTATTTCTGAGGAAACTGCCTGTGTATGAAGTGACAGCCCGGGTGGTGGGATCATAGAAACCATCTCCACAGTCGTAACATGAACTGGGAATTTCGCGTGGAGGATGTTGATTGGTCAGCTGGGAGTCTCCTGTGCAGACGAGGCAGACATTTTCTTTAAAGGTTATTTTGGTGTACATAGAAAACAAGTTCAGTAAAATAACCCAAAGCTAATGGTTTTGGACGTGAGTAGGTGTCATGTGACTACAAGGCTCCGACCTGCTGGTCTGAGTCCACTGCACCTCTCTGTGTAGAATCGCCTGTCGTGACCGTCGCAGTAGTCCCAGTCCTTCTCTTGGTACTGAAGACCATCAGCAAAGATAAACGTCCCCTGGTGTGGATGAATGACACTCAGTCATACAGCACAGTGAACACAGTGTGTGACTACTGAAGTCACAAATTAAAATTGACCATTTAAAATAAACAGACACTTTTAGAATTGTAGAACAATAATAATATTTGTCTTTGTGGTGTCAACGCTTTGCTTCCCAATTACCTTAAGCGCAGTGATTTGTTTTTAAGGGAAATTGATTCTGTTGGATGACCAATGTAGATGCAGAATAGTGAGGTCTAAAGTTTGTCATGGTTCAGACCTGCCATCATTGCCATGAACCCAGACTGCAGTGATGATAATAATTAGATTGATGGTTGTTGGGGTAAAAGTCCACAAAAGACTGCAACTTTTGGAACGGGAAACTTAGTAAGCCCCAGCTCAATGCTGAGTGATCTCTAAAAGGAACCAGATGGGATAATAACTATAGTCTATATGAAACACACAGTCAAGCACCTCACCTGTTGAGATTTGCCGTTCACCCAAGTAGCTTCATATTTACTTCCATTGGGAAAGTAAAGGACGCCTTTGCCATGGAACATGCCGTCTTTGGTCTCTCCTTCGTACTTGGTCTCAGTGGGGAAGGTGTATTCTCCTCTACCCTCCATTCTGGGCAAGATTTTGTTGTCAAAAATAACTTACACATAGATATAAAATAAAAACACTTGTTGTCAAAAATAACTTACACATAGATAGATAAAATACACATAGATAAAATAAAAACACTTTTTTTTTAGCCGTGAGCTAAAAGCACAAACTTAAGTACACATCATTAAGGATATGTTCCTATTTCTGACTGTTTTATTTGTACTGTACTTCCTTTGACATGATGACAAATAATTTCTAATATTCCTTTCTCCTATTGTGTAAAGGTAACTATTGTACTCAATTTAAATTGAAAAATAAGAGTATTGCTAAATTCAGAAAAACCCAATTCAAACAAATAAAAAAATCACAAAAATCAATGACAACTTTCAGAAAAAAATAGAGCAATAACCATCAATCTCCTAGTTAAATGCATTGAAGTAGTATTGAATTCCATGTATTTGTTGGGTTTTTTTAAATTTCATTTTAGATTAGACATGAAATAAAAACACGTTTCTAATACATTTGAAAAAGTAATTAACGTCTAAAAATTTCTAATACATTTGAAAAAGTAATTAAAGTCTAAAAATGACATTAAATTTACCTGCCATTTATTGTAGGTCCTTTGTAGCTGCTTCCTGTGAACTCCATGACTTAGCTAAAGAAACGACAAGCTTAATATGTGATGCGCAGACGGCACACTGTTACCATGGAGAAGAGACAACAATAACGTAGTGAAGAAAATATTTTTATTTATGTGATGTAAAATCATACAAACACAACAACAAATCAAACACATGTAATACCAAGAGTTTTTAATATTTCAATTTATTTTTTAAATGGAATATTCATGTATCACGTATGCAACTGTGTTCCTGCGTCCTGACGTCATCAGACTACGCCGCTCGGCTGCAGCAGCATTAGCAGCAGTTAACTGACCTTCCTTGCAGCCTCGTCGCTCGCCTCGGAGCTTGACGAGGACATTGAATGTTTTGGAAAGCATTTTGAATTTTTTGTGACTTCCCTTTCTTACATAGCCATGTCAAGGACAATTGAAGTCCCCACCCTCCATGAGCTGAAGGTGGACGAGGTGAGCAAGATTTGCTTCTATTTTTGCTTAAAGTTAAACTAGAGAAGGACAGCGGCCGGCTAACTAGCTGCTATGCTAAAGCTAACTGCTAACAGATTCATTCTGCATATAGGCAGATGGCCATTTGTTGTGCGTTTATTAGACATTACACTAGTCACCGTCGGTCGGACATAATTGAACGTAAATATTCATTTTTCATTTTGTTGTAGCGCTACTGACAGTGCAAGCGTTATATTAATAGTGTCTTACAACTGACTGTGTTGATTGTCGAGAACTAACTGCGATTTTAGTAAACAGTTCCATTTAATTACTTTACACTGTCTGCAGATATGTTGCTTTTTTGTTAATTAAGTTCGCAGTTTCTAAACCAAACCAAACCAAACTTCGCTCATGTCTGAACAGTGGGATTTGTCACAGTGGACGTGTCCTTGAAAGTCAGGTGTTAGTCAGCAGAGGTTTTAAATCTGTAACAATTAAACAAACGTCACTTCATTCCTTGGTTGTTTTAGTGATGGTTTATTAAGTTGCATTAAAGTGTCACATAATTATCTCAAAAACTGTATATTTTACGTATTCATATATCAAATGTCGAGTTGATGTACTACTTTTTTTATTACGAATATTAATTACTTCTACTAACTTGGTTGACACAATTTAGTAGTTGTAATTAATAACCTCTTAACAGTCAGACATGAAAAAGGTTACAGAAATAGCATTAAATCAAACTTTTTGTTTTACTACACTATTATTTTTTTAAATACCGCTTTTTATTTAGTGTCATGCATTAATATTAATACAATAATTATGTTTTATATAATCATTAATTAACAATAAAAACAAATATTTAATGAGAAAGTATTGTATATTGTAACAAATGATTACAAATGCCCTTTAAAACAGTCAAAAATGATACGTTTATTAATAGATGGTCAATCCCTTCAATTACATTTGAATTTGAATTTTATTTAAATTCTTAAATAATTTCATACTTTTATTTTACCTATACTACTCACCTGAGCTAAAATATTTCAATTCTAAAACATTGTTAAGAGTTCTTAAAACATCACTCCACAACTGCTTAAAGTGTAAATTAAACGATTTTAGGTCGTTGCTTACATTATTAGATAAAGGTTTTGTAAATCTGGTTAATTTATGTTGAAGAACTGATATGTAAAATCCTATATTGTTGATATTTATGTTTTCAGGTTGTTTAAAGACTACTCACAATAGCCCCATTAGCACTTCATCAATGTACAGTATTTCTTAAATTTTGTCAGAGGGATGTAATAAACATTTCGGCCTGATTTATCATAAATATAATATGCTCATTTAACTTTTTGTTTTCCGTTTTGGCCCAGATCACTGTGTCATCTGCACCTTTGAAGGCCGCTGCCCACCATTTGGGGTCTCAGTGTGACAAAGCCAACAAGGAGTTCATGCTCTGTCGCTGGGAGGAGAAGGACCCAACGAAGTGTATCAAAGAGGGAAGGAGAGTCAACGAGTGCACACTAAACTTCTTTAGGTAACACACAAACACACACACACACACAAACACTCAGGATAACAAGCAGTATACACACATGTATACGTCCTTTAGTGCTCCAACAAATTATATTAAGCTGATGTCTTGGAAAATACATACAACTTGTAATCACGAAATTATCTAAAAAAACAATTAGGTTCGAGTATTTATTTAAAATGGTGTTAAAGGTCACATATCTCAATCAGGTTGATGAGGCGTGATAATCCAAGAAAACGTACTTAGCAATTACACGATCAAGACTGTGTATTTTCTCCCTGATCGTCACCTCATAAAATCTGAACTGAAACACATGTAACAGTGAGTCTGTGTCCATCTGATGACACTGTAGCATGACCTTTGAGAGTCTGATCGCTGCATCATGACTTCAACTTAATGTCTGTCCGGGTTTTTATTTTCTGGATGTATAAAGAAGTTCAAGAGGTGTTTTCTAAATGTATCTTAGAACAGGGATTCCAAACCCCTTGATTGATTAGAGGAGTACATTTGCTGTCATAAAAAATCACATTCCAGTCTGTTACTATAAGATTTTTTCTTACAATCGTTCTTGCATCACTCCTAAGTTGCCCGAGTGTGAACCAGCTACATAGGTCCTGAGTAAATAATGACTCATGTATTTGTAAACTTACCACTAAGGGTAATTAGAGGCTTTGGTCTGGGGATCTTTTCCCTCCAAACGTCTGTGTATTTGTTTACTGACATATTTCAACACAGCTTGAGTTGTGTTGATCTGGCGCAATTCACAACGTTTTTTTTCCCCTTGAAAGTAAATCACACGGCACCTCAAGCTTAAAAGAAATAAACAAGTGAGACTTCAGCTCCAAAAATAAATTTAGTTTGGAAACAGCATCAACCTGTAATTATCATAAAAAAGGTCAGTTTGGACAAAAGCTGTAATTACACCTGGGACTGTAGCTGATGTTGTTATGGTTGGTTTCCACAAATGTATATTGTCTGTTTAGACATCATATTATCAGAATTCCAAAAGGTCAGATCTTAATCAATACACAATTCATTCAGTTTAAAGACTGACACAAAGTTGCACTTTTATCGTAACCAAAACAATTCCCAACTCTGTTTTCTGCTTCCCTTGTAGGCAAATCAAAGGCAATTGTTCCGAGTCATTCACAGAGTATTGGACCTGTCTGGATTATCACTCCAGATCACAGTTCCACCTGTGCCGCGAGCAGCAGCAGGTGTTCGACAACTGCGTACTCGATAAGCTGGGCTGGAAGAGACCCGAACTGGGAGAGCTGTCTAAGGTCAGTCTTTTTTATCCCATACAGGATCACCTGCACGCTTTTGAATCTTGTTGCTTTTTACTGACCTTTCCAGCCAAATTGTACATTTTTGGAGAAGCCTCTGATTTTACTGCGTGCCTCTGTGTTTGTCTCACTCTGCAAAGGCTCTAGGAATACAAGAAATGTGAATGATAGCCCTGTGATTTATTTATTTATTTATTTTTTGGTCTTTAAGTCACCACCTCATTGGGTTTTGCATAAATGCCTGCCGAGTATTTTCTTTCGCAGTAGCAATCACAGTAATCACTGATTGTGACCATGGTGTTTCGGGGATTTCAGTGTTGTATTTGAAAAAGACCTGAATAAGCTGAATGAATGTTTAAATGTAATCAAGTATGTGGATGTTTAGGACTTGCCAAGCAAAGCTGTTGTTCACAGTTAGTGTTGTTGGAAAATGATCCGAGGAGGAAAATCACAGAAAATATCAGTTACATTGAAACGCGTCCAGGTCATGCTGATCAGGTTGTTCAGTCTCCACGGTTTAATGGGTTAAAGAAAAAGAGAGTTTGATATGGGTGGAGGAATAACTCAGTTTGAGGTCAAACTCAGCGATGCATTTCACTCAAAACATGGAGATGTTGTACAATTCTTCAAATTATCAGCTTTAGAAAGATGTCTTTTCTAAAACAAAAAAACTTTTCCAAGGGTCCCCAACCTCAGTTCTAAATGATCTAATGATTGATTACACAAACTAGAAAAACACCTGTTAAATTGAGTGAAGGTTTATACAGGGTTTTGATCTAGCGCCATCTATTTTTGTGTTTGTTTTTAATTCTCCAAAAGTATGAAAACATTTTTGAAAGGATTGGATTTCAGTTTGAGAAATCAAATGGAGCCTTTGTAGAAAAATAACCTTATTTATTTTCATAAAAGAAATTAATTTGACTTTCTGTCATATTCCCATTTTATACATTCTTCTTATGACGTGTTGGTCATGCTCCACCAGGACAAAGTCGTTTTTAAATTTGAAATAAAACCAAACCTTCTTAATTTTTGGACCATAAAAAGGCCAACTGTGTCCATGATATTTTCCTCATAGAACATTCTGTATTTTTCAAAGTGTTTTCACAAAATTTTTCATGTAGATCACCAAAGTGGCGACCGACCGGCCTGAGCCCACAAACCCATACTACTCTAGAGAACGTCCTGAGCCCAATCCAGTCGCCGAGGGTAAACTGGAACCAGCCAAACATGGCAGCAGGTTATTCTTCTGGCACTTTTAAAGCAGGAACAGTGACGTCACCACCCGTCACGTCACTGCAGTCATGGGCTGTGTCCAAAATCTGCCAGATGTGATCACTGATGTCTCATGGTTCTATCATCTCACCAATGAAGACATCAACCTTTTAAATATTTCTTTTGGTCACATTTGTAATTCTCCTGAGAGTTTGTTTTGGACACAGCTCATGTCTTGGCGCTCGCCTGCAGTGATATTCTTCCTCCAGCATCATCACAGTTTGTTAAAGGAAGGAAGGATGGATGATTATGAGAACAAACTCCATGGATCCATGCGGCTTTCCTGACCACTTATGTAAATGTAATCAGTGAGCAGCTACAACATGCTGTTCTTATTGTTGTCATCTAATAAAAGATAAATTATAACTTGTGATTTTGATGTGTCATTATTTAAAGAAATGAGTAAAGAAACCTACAGAGTTTAATCGTTCCAGACACATATTGGCTGATTGTAGGGAATAACCGCCGTTTTTGCACATCTGTGTTTTGTCAGTGTGTGTTTTCAGACTGATAGAGGTTAAAGGTCAAGGCTCAGGGTCACTACCTGTAGTCAGAGAGTGCTCCTTCTGCTTCCTCCTTTTCTCCCAGCTCACTTCCTGTCTCTGACCTGGACTGAAGGCGAGAGGAGTCATCTCAGAGATGCACCAACAAAAGTCTGTTATTGCTGCCAGCGCACGTGCACTCAGACACGTGCGCTGATGACCTTGAGTCAGAGGAGATGAGACACTGCACTGTAAATAAGGCTGTCAGTGTTAGTGTGGCTGTCGAAACCCTTTAAAAAATGCAACAAAAGTTATTTTTATAGCTAAACTGCTGTGTGACTGAATTGTTGGTTCCTTTGTGGCAGAAATGAATGTGGGAGAGCTGTAGCCTGTGTATCTGTCTGATTGTGCTGTGACTCCGCAGAAAGGTTTTCCTTCAACCGCTCTATTTTAGTTGATAAATAAATGGCTTAAATGAGCTTAACCTACACTTTTTCACACAAATTGTAAAGTTTACAAAGCCTAAAAATACTAAAAATGATTAAAGTATTGGTATAAAAGGGCATCTTTGCCAAAGCAGGGGTCATCAGCTGTAGTTGTTAGAGATAAACTGGGGGCCAGACACTTGTATTTTTGTTGAACATTGATATTTAATTATTTGAAAATTGAAACGATGCCAAAGTAGAGGAGCATTCTATCTATCTAACTTTGTATCTTTAAAAAAAACAAACTTTGAGCTGTGTTTTTCATTGTTCTATGACCGACGTGGGACAGTTTGTGTCTTTAACCTCTGCCTTGTTGTTTTCTGTGGGGACCAATACAGTGTGACGACCCTCTCATGATCAGGAGTGGAGATGGGACCCTGGGGTGTTTTAGACATGATGTCATGTCCAGTGGATCAGTGAACAAAAACACTGGATCTGTTGGCGAAAAAGGCACTGGTTTTATTTGAAATAGTAGTTGAAGTAGTTGTTGCTTCAACCCAGTACTTCTCAAATGAGGGGGTGGGGGCAAGGGGCAGTGAGGTGCCGGGAGGACGTGAGGGTCTTCCAATGGAATATGGCACGCTGGACATAAGTGTATCTCTGCTGTAATGCATAAACGATAACAGTCCTCCAGTCACTAGGTTTGTAGAGATAAAAATATACATGTTATCAGGTTCTCAATAGTATTTCAATAACGGGGGTGTGTGAAAACATTTCTGTCCCATAGGGACATCATAGCATGATGGAAGTCAAATTGAGGACCACTGCTTTAGCCTATTGATCTGATGCTAGCTGGTATACAGCATACTTATACCAACTTTTCTTAACAACCACGTAGTTGTTAGCTGTAATTTCAATGGAGATCAGTGAAGTATACTCATCTATATTTCTAGACGCTAACTGCTTTATATATCACATGGACATGCATGTCTCTGGATTTATTTATTTTTCCGAGTGTCAGTCATGGTTCTAGCAGAAATCCCCTCACAAGGTGTGGTCTGGACCTGCAGCTTGAACAGGAAACGTCTGACAGGCCTACTTCTGACCTTGACGGTGGGACAAAGAGAGGAGGGAAGAAAAGGAGAAGAAGGTGTGGACAGGGGGAAACATGGAAAAGGTGTAAGGGGTTAAGAGGAGGTGGCGATAAAGAAAATATAAAACCAGGGTTAAATCAAATTTTTAAAAAAAGAAGCAGAAATGACAACACAGTGAAAGTGAACGCAGGCCAAGGTGAGGGCTGAAAAGCCGACCCAGACGGAGTGAGGGCGGTGGTGGTTGTGATGGAGGTGGGCGGTTCTGGAGGTAGTTCAGTGGCTGGCGGTGAAGCCCCAGGGCTCGTGGCAGACCTGTCTACATGCGACTCGCAGGAAGCGGCGGGTCATCGTTGTTTGACACGGCACCGCTACAGGAAACGGGCTCTGGCTCAGGAAAGAAATACAATACAGGGCTTTCACAAAGCTGCAGTCGACCCGGGAGAGCGGCGCGTTTAAACACTCAAACACCCACACAAGTTCAGTGGACACACGACCGTCCATATTACCATTGTTGAAAGCCTGGTTCAACAGAACAACAGGAATAAAGCGAAGGCCGAGAGATGACTCGGAAATACCAAAACCAAAGTCAAAATAAACAGATGAGGTGAAGGTTTAAAAGCCTTTTATTATTATCTTTTCTATTCCAACTGACTGTTGTCTCAGAAACACCCATGACTGTGTACAGTATACGTGCGTGTGACTTAACTAAAGGAACAGAATTTTGACTATGAATCCTTTCCTCACGAAGTCGGCGTTAGCACAAAGTTAGCCAAGAATTGGGCAAATTACGCAGCAGTTATATGTACAAGACAACAAGACTGTGGTAATAAATTAAAAATAGATAATCAAAAGCAATCTCCAGAATTTGTTTCTGGACTTTATTATCAGTTAATCACAGTCAAGTCAGTGTCGTCCTCCGAGTCATCGTCATCTTCTTCCTCTAGACCAGGGGACTCAGTTAGGCCCAAGACTAGATGTTAATTATAATTCTATTTCACAATTTAGGTCATTTAAAAAAAATGTATCTACATTTTGTGGTTGACCATTTTGTACTGTTGTACTGGACATTATTTGTATTAAACTAATCTACTGGCTCACTACCAGTGTGGCCCTCCAGTGAAATAATGGCGGCAGCAATGGACCTCAGCTCATTTGACTTCGAGACCCCTGCTCTGCCCCACACCATTAAGATACCCCCTCCCCCGCCCCACACCCCCCAACAGGAGGGTGCACTTGATTCTACAAACTCTGAAAGTGTGGTTCTATTTGATTTGTTTGTGTTGCGGTGCCGTCCTCGGCCGTGATCCCTCTTAGACTCCCAACATGACACTGAGTGCTGCTTTCATGTCTCCTCTCATCCCTCCGTACGACACAGGGGAGGCTTTGAACTGACATGCAGGCTTCAGTCTGTATGTAAAACACACACAACCACCGAAGCCACAAAGTACCACCACGGCGTCCACCACCTTCACTCATAATCTGAGAACATCAATGGAGGGGGGGGAGTGAGGAGGAGCGGGGCCGAGACATAAAGCACATGCTCACTTACACGCCAGACATTGTTGTTTTTTTTAAGGTCTGTTTTTTGTTGAGAGGAGCAACGCAGCCAACAAAAGATGTATGTTGTTGCACCTGAATATGAAACAGCTTTGTTCATTTTAATAAACAGTTTGGTAGAATTTCCTCATTGGATAAACAGCAACATAAATAGTGTATATGGATCTATTGTAAATGTAAAACAATAGTTGTTAACGGACACGGAAAAACATGTTAGAAAGCTGTTGTGTTTTTAATTTTAAAAAATTAGACTGTTATTTTTGTTTACTTGGTGATTATTACTGATAAATATAAAAATGTTAAGCACAGCAATGATGGATAAAGAACAAATAAAATTACTTTAATTTAAAAAAAACTGCTCAGAAATGCAAAAATAAAAAAAGCAGTCATGCTGTATGTTAGCAAAAAAAAAAAAAAAAGCACAAATTTGCTGAAGCATTACAAAAATAGTCCTGGAAGATCTGAGACAGCTCAGTAAGGTCTAAGCTTGGTTAAATTTACAAAACATTAGCTAACATTAGCCATAAGGCTACACCATTTCAAATGAGCATTAGCTTAGCTCAATTCGTCGTAACTTGCCCCGGAAGAACTTTTATATTTAAAGCTACACAGTGTACTGTGTACTTTACAAGTAATTAGCTTAAAGTTAGAAAAAAATGACCTTAATTTTCCAAAAAGAATGTGTGAAGGAAAGTAGCTTGGTTAGCTAGCAAACTAGGCTAACAAGGAAACAGCTAAAAAAGGTGGACAAGTACAATGAATATTGACAGGGAGCGAGGTGTGAGTGTGTATTCAGTCCTTAAACGCTCCGGAGTCCCTATCATCTCGTCACCACGTCCGTGTGTATAAACACAGAATGAATGTTGTAAAATGAGCTGCTGAGGAAAAGAAACCTAAACAAACGGCTGAAAGATTCTTCAAGGCTTCGTGAAAGTGTTGAATAACTGCAGCCGCGTCAGAGTTATTCGAGGTTACAGCAGTTGACAAGTCACCACATCATAAAAAGGGAATTATTCCAACGTTTCTATGCAGGAAAATATATACGATCACCTCAAAAACACCCACACTGTAGCTGGAATCTGTGTGATGACGGAGCGATGACCATTGCTCATGTTTTGCATTCCAGTCGGACACGCTTCACAGGCTCTCTTTTTGTGCCTCAGTTTTGCCAAACGCCTCTGAATGCTGCGCTAAAGATAACATTTAGCAAAATCCACAGGGTGTGTTTTCTTCATTTTCTTTTGCTTAAGTTGTCAGGTGGCCGAGGACAAGATGAAGCAAAGGAAGAGGCTTCGCTTCACGGCACAGTGATGAAGCTCAGTCAGTCTTCACAATGAGACAAACGGACACCAAAAAAGTGCTTTGATGACTGTGTAGTCTGATAGAATCTAAAGGACCAATCTGACGAGTTTGTCTAAGAGGGTTTTATACTGTAAGGAAAGGGTTTTTTCTCTGTGCGTAAGGGGTTTGGTGAAGCCACAACTCATTCTTTACTGTTTATTCCCCGTTTTAAAAAATGAATCTCCAGTCCTTTCTTTTTCTTCCTGCGTGTTTATTCTGTGGTATCTGAGCAAATGGACTAATGTGAAGTACGTGATGAAATGAGATGTTGAAACGACAGCTCAGCCAATCGTCACACCGCCCAAAAGGCAAGAAGCTGTGGTCTGCTGGGAGCCCTGTCAGAACTCTGTTTATTTGTCTGCAGGTGTGTATGTGTGTGTGTGTGTGCGTGTGTGTGTGTGTGTGTGTGTTTAGCCTATATGTTTGGTGGAAAATGAGAGTATGATAGATATAAAGTGCTTGCAGCT